ATATTGAGGGAATTAGTTATCCAATTGCAGAATATCGTACAAATGCACTCATGAAGTTCCTATAGTTCACGAGAATATCTAAATCACCAATATTGAGTGGTGTTAATTTACATAACATATGGAACATATATTTAAAACATATTTAATATATCACCTTTAGGGACGAGCAGATAGGATGTTATAGATAGGTGAGAATTTGTAATTAAGGCTCGGGCACCCACATTACCTATTTTCTCAATCCGTTAATATATGATAGGTATATGCGCTCCGTTATTAGGATTAATCATCATTAATAATAGTACGTAATGGAATTTGCAATGGATATTTGTGAAACTTCCAGATATAATCACGAACAACCGAAAATGATATTATCGAAAATCTCACTAACCTTACCCACAATTTATAAAATCAGAATCACAGTTAGGATATCCATCTATTAATCATGATTCTTATAAAATTACTTTAGTTAACTTCCTTCCGACTACGCAGATATAACCACACTATAGTATCATTGACAACAGTTATAATTCTAATGCTTAAGGAACATTGATACACGTTTCAGGTAGAGATACAATCCTTAATCCTTACTCGTGATCCCAGCTAAGGGTTACCAAAGGTCACATTATATCAAATAAAAATTAATTTTAAAATATAAATATCGAATTTCTATTGAATAGATTAAAAGTTCGTGGATGCGCTGGGTATCAATAATTAGGTACTTTCAAATCGAATTTTATGAATAGATATATCAATATATGTCAAACACTTTAATAGGTAATAATTCGGGCGAGTACGATGGTACATTGAAAGTGAGTTCATCTCTTAAAATATAATTTAAAAGGAGGACTATGCAAGTATGTATATACTTTAGGAGAGCATGTGCGATATCTATATGTCATCTAAGAGTAACGTTTGCTGCTTGGTCATGCGCTTTAAAGAAGTGTATTGACATCTGGATTCAGCACGCACTCGTATAGTCAAGATTCTATAATATTTTCTATTGAAAATCTTGGTATGGGAGGTTACTATAGGAATAAATGTTGCCTATGAATGACTTTTATTTATTCATACCTAGCATCTTAAATCCAACAAAACCAATAATCTTTTTATCACACAAGGGATAGTATTCCAAACGTGCATGTAGATATCTTTTGAATACCCAAAATTGTTATAGGCATTTGATATGAGGAGAGAAGTCATAATTAAACCAGTCAGCAATTTTTTATGAATTTTATAAGAGCCTAATTTAAATACTACAAATTTGAAATAATTCTAAAAAAAATACTGATTTGAAATCAATCATCATTTGAAATTTTTAAAAACCTCTTTAAAAAAATTTCGATGGAATATCTCAATTCATATGATATATATATATATATATATATACCAACTGCTAAAGCTTGCGTAAGGAGACATTTTTATATTAATTTAAAATTGATGCATAACCCGTCGCTTGTGGCTCACGGAGCCTAGTGGTCCGTCCACATGGCATATTGAAATTCTTCAGTTTTTTTTTTTATTATTTCAAAATTTTTCAAATTTTTTATTTGATTAACTCATTATTTAATTGAAATCAAAATACAAAAATTCTAAAAAAATAATCGACTTAATTCTGAAAAATTGCAGCATTATTAATGTTAATTTTTGTGAAAATATAAAATTCTCAGCACATGAATTTAATTCGAAACTAATCCAATAATTAATATATTGTTTTACATTTTAAGAGGTAGGGATGAAAGTGGTAGATGTTGTACGGCACCCACTCCATTCCAATCCGTTTAAAGATGATATAGGTAGTTATAAAATAGTTTGGAATGGATATGGATAGCGAAATTATTATCCGCAACGAAAATGATTAGTGAAATTACTACCCATAATAGATACAGTTAGGATACATGTATAAAAATTTAGATACCCGCTACCAGTTAACCACTATATTAAACAGATCTATTAATGCTATATTAAACAGGTTCGGTAGCGGATACTCTATCCACTGGTACCCTATCCATTATCAATAAAAAATTTATTTTAAATAAATTCGAATTTGAATAGTTTAAAGTTCGTGGATGCTGTATCTATTTAAAGGTACTTTAAACGAATTTTAGATAGATACAATTAGTAAAATTTAAATAAATTCGAGTACGAGTACTTGAATGAGTATTTAAATAAATTTAAAAGGGATATGAGTAGTAAAACTTTAAACATATGCGTTTATAGTTCACGAGTACCCGTTCTGCTTTCATCCTTATTAAGAAGTGTATTGGATTAAGACTCTATTAGATTTTTAAAATTTTTTGAAATTTTTGGGTTAAAGGATAAATTTGTGAATGACTTTTTTATTCATACCTAGCATCTTAAAATCCAACAAAATCAATAATTTTATAAAATTTTTCCAAATCAGTAATTTTTTGAATACCAAAATTGTATAGACTTTTAAAAAGTCATAATTAATACCATCAGATTTTTATGAATTTTATAAGAGCCTGAATTAAATACTACAAAATTTTAATAAATTCTAAAAAAATATAGATTGAATATCATTGAAATTTTAAAATCTTTTAAAATTTGATGGAGTCTTAATTCAATATACCATCCTGAGACAATACACACAAGTAACAAAATGTTTGCTATGCTACTTTGTTTGTCGTTTCGTTGTAAACTTTGATTTTTTTTTTTTTAATAATTGTAAACTTTGATATTTTTGGCAAGCCCCAACACAGCGTAATCAGATTTTATAAGCATTACTAGGTTGGTCGATTAAAATTAATCCCACAATTTTGTAAGCCATATTTGGTCATCTTTTTAATTTGTTTGGATGGATGAATTATTGGATCATCGTTTTAAGTTATTGGCTCACTCGCAAGAGAGTCCGAAGAGTAAAATGTTCTCCTTTTGTTATGTTCCACTATTCAATGATTCAACTACAGCTCTTAAGAATTTGAAATTTTAATTTTTCTTAATCAAAATTTTTATTTTAAAATTTTGAAAATTTAATTTTGGAAAATATAATTTGATAAATTATAAGTAAAAGTTCTAATGAATTATATATCTAAAATACCACTTGTCTAAAGAATGATATTTTTTTTAATCTTTATATTTAACTTTACTTTCTAAAACCTTCAAATCAAACAACATCATACTATTATTAAACCTTATTTACCTTGCCTTCTAAATATTAAAAATATGATTATTTACCTTATCATATAATATCTTATTTTAATAAATTTTACCTCACTCCATCTAAATAAAATCTAAGTCGTATCTTATTAAAAGCAACCTATGAGATTTTTCTAATGATTTAAGCTTCGTTATAGAAATTCAAATCTACACTATTTTGTTCCATTCTTGAAGATATTTAAAAATAAGATGGAGAAGCTGCGAAAAAAATTGATCATAAGGATATTGGGAAGTAACAACCTTCAAAGTATAATTATCCTTAAAAAGTTTACCTAGCCAACATAACATCAGAGAATTTCAATCTTTCAAATTGGTAGCAAATCCATAGAAAAAAGTCAATATTATTGGAATTTTTCAGTTATTAGCCTATCCCCTCTCCATTTAAAATGGCTGACAGGTGCTCTTGATAGAATATTGGCCAAGGTCCTCGCTCCACCGTGTCAAACCGTAAAATGTAAAAATTTTTTGTCTTTTCAGTGAAGTGCGTTTTTTTAGAGATCGAGCTTGTTTTTTCATCCATGTGAGAATCGAGATCGCTTAACACCTTGTCGATAGCCATCCATAATATGTTTAATGCTTAAAGAAACTATATAAATAAGCTGTTTGTCATTTTCATCAAAGCATGTATTAATTGAAAGATGCTCACTCTGTTTTAAAATATAAATTGTTTAAAATTTTTACACGATGATTAAAAAATAATTAATTATTTAAGTTATTAATAAAAATTAAAAGTAATTTGATTAAATTGCCCCTTATCTAAAAAATAAAACAAAATTTATGAATGTAATTATTATATTTAATATAAAAATAGTAAAAAAATATTACTAGTTACTCTTTAAACTATTCAAAAATTTTTAATTTTGAGAAACACTAAAAAACAATTTATATTTTTTAAGCGAATGAGTAATTTATTGAACAGTCTTGATACTCATAGATGACCCTAACACCACACAAAAATATTAAGCAAAACTTTGTTATAGCAATCAAAAGTTGATATTATAGGTTGTATGTGAATTCAAATGCTTTTATCTTATTGTTATTGCAAGATATATTTGGCTTTGACATTTAATGTTAACCATTTGTCACTGTCTATGCTACAAAATAATTTCATTGGTACATATATTATATTAAAGAACAAGGAACCCAGTGTCATAGGACAAATTAAAAACATAATGTTAATCAATTTCTTTTATTTTTTTATATTTTTACACTTAAATTTGAGGGTTTAATTGATATTATTGTTATACTTGCTGTTTTTCATATTTTATGCAAAGAACTGTATGTAAAAATATATTTATTATTGTTAAAAAGGCATGTTGGCCCTTAAAAAAGATTCTGACTTTATAATTGAAAATGATATATTTAATTTCTAAATGAGAGCAGTGTATTATTTTTTTATCTTGTGAACAAACCGATAGATTTATAAACAATTAAAGATGATGGATGATATATATATATATATTATTTTGCGTAGCGAATTTAAGAGTATCATCTTTTTACGAAAGAAAAACCATGAGGTTAGTTTAAAAAATAAGTTTTAAAATGCATTATTTTGTTGAGTATATTTCCTTTTGGCAATGTTTAAAATATAAGTTCCAGAATTTACAACAAAATGTGATTAATTTTTTTTAAATATTATATATTATCGTCCTCGTTAATCCTAAATGAAAAAACTATGCAGTGCAGGTATTACCAGAGGTTGGGAGGAGAAGGATAAAGTCAAAAACTTGAAAAGAAAAACAGCATGTGGGCCTATAAAAGGAAGCCATGTGCAGCATCTGAATAGCCACACGAATACAATTCTATTGCGTCACAGCATACTATCCAAAGCCCCATATAAAAATATCTTCCCGAAACAAGCCGCACTCCTGCCTGCTAAAAACGCGAATCTTTCCCCCCTCTGCTTCGAAAGCGAAATCAAACTACACGAAAAAGAACAAAAACGAAATTTAAAAAAAAAAAAAAACCCACTCGTGAGAACGGATCCCCAACAACACGAACCTGAATAACTGAAACCCTAACCCTAGCCGCGACTTTTTATCCTCTTCGTTTTCTTCTATAATCGTGCACGTGAAGACTTAAACGCCGAGCGTTGGTAATTGTTAGGGTTAGGGTTAGGATTAGGTGTATGCTTGGGAGATTAGTGTTTTGCTCTGCAGAAGGATTCAAAACGAGCTAGATTGAAATTAGGATTTAGGGTTAGGGTTTCGGTATGGAATGTGCAGGTGGTGGCGGTGGTGTAAGAGGCGCTGGTAGTTGGTGTTTGAGATGACCGGAGGCCGATGCCCCGGCGGAAGAAGATGATGGGTAGGTGTCCTGACGGAGGTTGCGGCACTCATGAGAGGCTTTGTCGCCCGATTTCTAGGATTCCGTCGTCCAAGTTACCGGCGACCCAAGCTGAAATACTCCCAACTACAAAAAAGAAGCCTTCATTGGACGTTGATTTCTTCTCTCAGGCTCGTAAATCTCTAAGCGAGCGGTCTCCATTTGATATACCTGAGGATGTCTCTGGGTCGACCACTTCAGGTGCTTTTTCAAGTATTTCTACTTTGCCTAGTGGATTGGCCAGTTTGCTTAGGCAATCGGATAGTAGAAAGAGGCATAAGAAGTCACATTCTAGTGCAGATAAGAAGTCTTCGCGGGCAAGTGAGAGGTCCAAGGGAGGGAATATTTGGTTTGAGACTGAGGAGTACTTCAGAGACTTGGCACTGCCTGACATTGATGCCTTATTCGAGATATCTTCTTCACTTAGGTCTTTAGCTGGTAGTAAGTGTTTTTTGATTCCGTACATTAAAAATGAGAAAAAGGAGTCCAGGGACGACCCAGAGACCTTGGATAAGAATGCTGCTGTGGGTTGTGAGAATGGAAATGCACAAACAAATGAGTCGGTGGATAACAATGTGAATTGTGGCGGAAATGCAAATGGAAATGAGGTTGCGGTAAAGCACGAGGTGAAGCAAGAGGACGAGCAGTTAATGGAAATTGACGGTGTAGGTCCTCAAGATGACAGCAACCAGTGTTTGCCCCAGGAGGGGGGGAAGGTTGGCACCATTTCAGATGTTTCTAGCGGTTTAGAATGGCTTTTAGGTTGTAGGAGCAGGATTATATTGACTTCAGAGAGGCCTTCCAAGAAGCGAAAGCTTTTAGGCAGGGATGCTGGGTTGGAAAAGGTTCTAATAGGTTCTCCATGTGAAGGAAATTCATCGTTATGTGATTTTTGCTGCAAGGGTGAGATGGGTAACGAATCAAACCGGTTGATTGTTTGCTCTTCTTGTAAAGCTGCGGTGCATCTCAACTGTTATGGCGTGCAAAGGGATATAGATGAGTCTTGGCTATGTTCTTGGTGTAATGGCAGGACTGGTAGTGATGATTCAGTTAAGTACCCTTGTGTGCTTTGCCCAAAGAGGGGCGGTGCTTTGAAACCTGTTGATGCAGGAAGTACTGGAACTATTACTGAGTTTGCTCATTTATTTTGTTCTTTGTGGATGCCTGAGATATATGTGGACGACCCAAGGAAGATGCAACCTATTATGAATGTGCAAGAAATAAAGGAAACCAGAAGAAAATTAGTTTGCAACGTCTGCAAAGTGAAATGTGGTGTTTGTGTTCGTTGTAGTCATGGTATGTTTGGTTGCTCTCTTATATTGTAATAATTAGTTTGGGGTTTTGTCGCTAATTGGGCATCTTTAGACTGCAAAGTAAATTCAGCTAACAAGTTATATGGTGTTATCTAGTTTGAGCAGAAAGCTTATTGCTACATTCTCCTTGGTATCAGAATATGACCAGAGGATGGAATCACGTCAATCTGCTTTTAGACATTAGAACATTCGTTTGAACCCTAGTGCTTCTTGCACTTAGCTGTTGAACACTGGATGTTAGTTTCTTAGGCTAGCTTATTAGAGTTGATTGTTGTCGTTATTGGAATACGCTAGGTGATATATGCAAATCCTCTGGATTATAGTGCCTGAAATGTTGGTGCAGTCAGCTGGATACTTGATTGTTCGTTTCCATTTAAAATCAATGTAGTGAATTTTACTCTGTAACACCTCTTATTATTTGATTAAACACCTATTTGTTGTGAATAAGCACTTATTTCTTGTGCAAGTGCCTCCTGAGACATGAATCTTGTTCTTGCTTTCACAAATCATTTGGGTTTGAATGCATGTGTGATCACGTGCTGTTACAATGTTACTTTTTCTATTATGGCAAAAAACATCTGCACATAAATGTTGGGCCTACTTTTAATTTTGTGCGTCCCCTTGCTATTGATCACTCTGTCCACTAGCGATTGATCACTTGATTAATATCTGTTATGTGATTTTGCTATTTGGTTTGGTTAGTGTTATATTCTTCATAATTCCATTAGCATTTGAACATTTTTTTAAGGTCTGGAGATGAAAGTTCAATCAAAGAAAGCATTGAGGATATACTACTGTTGGTATCTCAATGCTTGATGATGCTAATCTCGAGTGAGCATACTTGATGATGAAGCACAACCATCTAATTCTTACTGCTTTGCAAGCTGCTCTATGTAATGGGTCCATTTTAACAATTTGCCACTGGATTTTTCAATTCTTAATTCTTCAATTGTACTGCTTGTTCTTTCGATAGCTGCTGCTTCCATTTTATAATCTTTTCTGCTCGACTTGGCTGGCCGTTACTTTTCAGTAATATATTCATGGTTTGCTCGAGTTAGTTATGTTGGATTGTTGGTGCTTTTCGGCATTGTTACCTTTTGCTCTGTTGGTTTCAGCATGTGAATGTTGCTACTATTGGTAATGGCTTTCTGCTGGGTTTGTTTATTCAGGAACTTGTAGAGCTGCATTTCATCCCATATGTGCAAGGGAGGGGAATCACAGAATGGAGGTTTGGGGGAAATATGGATCTGAGAATGTAAGCTGTTTCCTCTATTATTATTGTTGGAAGTTGTCATTTTTTTTTTGCTAGTATCGATTCTGTTGCTGATGTTCCAGAATGTAGACAGCTTCATGCTGTGACCTCGTTGAGGCTTTCTGATTAAAGTTAAAGGTTCTGATTTTGTATGCTCTATAGGTTGAATTGCGGGCCTTTTGCTCAAAGCACTCAGAGTCCCCTGATGGTAGAAGTAACTCCCAATTACCTGTTATCAGTGACTCTTCCACTGCCAACTGCATGCCACTGATTCTGTTGACAGATAAACAACACAATTTAAAGATTGGCCATAATGGAGACAAAATTGCGGTCAATGTAGGAACTCCCGATACTGTTTCTGATAAATCTGGTGATAGTGAGTCACGAGAAATTGGATTATCTGATTCCAGACAAAATGATGTGCTAATATCAGAATGTGCTGATGGGGACCAAGTTAGTAGCATGGGGATGTCTGAGAGAAGTGACAACGAGGACGCTAGCCTATCTGATTCACGAAATCTTGCCCTGATTTTGAAAAAGGTACTAATAAAATGGTTGTATCTATGTTCATGACATTGTTGGACAAATTTATTTAGGTTGAATAACTGTCTCTTTTTCCCTACTGACTATTCTACCTTCCCAATTTGAACCTTACATATGTAATGATGCAGTTAATTGATCGGGGAAAAGTCAACATGAAAGATGTAGCATTGGAGATTGGCATCTCACCTGATTCATTGCTTTCGACACTTGCTGTAATGTTAAAATGATGACTTTTACTTCGTAATCTTCTTTAGAGAGAGAGAGAGACTAATCAGATTCAGATGTTCAATGCGCTCTTCTGACTTATAAATGCTTATTCTGCAGGAAGATAGTTTGGTTCCTGACTTGCAATGCAAAATAGTCAAATGGCTTAGGCATCATGCTTATATGAGTACTCTGCATAAAAATTTGAAAGTTAAACTAAAATCCTCAATTCTGTCCAAGGCTGGGATGGCAGAGGCTGATCATTCTGATGGTGTAATAGTATCAGAGTCTGATATGGAAGACCCTGTTGCTGTTAAGTCTGTTCCACCTCGCAGAAGAACAAAAAGTAACATTAGAATTTTGGCAGATAATAAAGGAATTTGCTCAGCAGAGGAATTTTTAAGTGACAGTGGGGCGCTGATTGATGAGGATAGAGTTGATAAACTTGCTAGCAAGCAACCAGAAAATTCAAGTGAAGTATCTGTCCATGTTGAAAAGGTAACCTTATTGCATTGTTTATTTGGTCCTGTGAATGGTTCGTATAGCGAGTATTGCATTGATCTTATCTGTAAGTTTTCCAATCATACGAAAGTTTTTTGTTTCATCTTCTGGTGCTTGTTTCATCTCCCAACATACTCCAATGTTCTTAAATCTTTTCCCTCTTGCGCTGTTCCCCTGAGATGGTTGCATTTGGTAAATTTGTTCTACGAGTTCCTGTCATTGGCAGTTAAATTTGTCATTTGGTGAATGGAGTCCTGTAATATGTTAGGAGGTACTATTGAGTGCACTTGGTGCATTGTTCAGTATTGAACCATCCTCTTTGCCGCTTTTGGATGCATAAGCTATTTTCATGAGCATATTCCATGTACATGTGAATGAGGGTATCAATTGTTGCCGTGGTGATAAACTGTAGGTATAACAGCAATCTATGATCTGAGTATAGTCAAAATTGGTTCATTTGAGAAGACTTCATAAGTGAAGAAGTGTATTTGTTTCTTTATTTTTGAATCATTAACCTTTTCTTTGAATATCCCAATTCTCAATTTAGATTCTCTTTTAGTGGTTTTACCCTATGGGCCACGAAATACACGTGGAAGGAGTGAACAAAATTTAACTGGTTCGTTTGATGCCTGTTTAATGCATTGTAGATGAACCTATACTTGATTAATTATGTATGCTATGCATTTGTTGGCTGTGGATTAGGAACAATGAGTCATGGTACTGTCAACTGGAAAAGTGGCATTACTGGCATGATTTGCAATATAAAGTCTACGTTTTTTCTAAGAAAATGAGCCTTTATAATTGACTCTTGATAATTTCATCGAGCAAAAAGAGATTTTTTCTGATATGGATGGAAAAAACTGTGGACAAATCAAGCGTAAAAGGAGATAAGCATAGGAGAATCAAATTGTTCTGAAGAATGCATTCTTGTTATTAATTCAATGGTGTGAAAGCTCAAGAAAACTTTGCCCCACAGAGTTCTTAAATGAGCATGCTTTGACATTTGTTGTAGTGCTGATTACAGTTTGTTGGTTTCTTATTAAGGGTTTAAATGATATTGAAATGGAGAGTGCATGATTTACATGGTCATGCTACATGTATGAGCGTGTGTGTTTGCATTGCTTTGAGGAAGTGAGTGAAAAAGAGGGTCTGAGGAAGGCCAATTCCTGTTTGACATATTTTCCCTTATTAAATCAGCTGCTTGAAGCAGCAAATACTTGTCATTCTGTAGATTTTTAGTTCTTCATTTGGTTATTTTGAGGCTCTACTTTCCCGTGTCTTCTGTTGCCATTTTTTAAATTTTCTATGATCTTATGCAATTGTGCAGACATCAATCAACTGTGATGGGTTGCAAGACTCTTTGGGGACTGATTTGTCTAAATCTGAAGGTATATTTTTCTAAATCCTATGTTTGGCCTAATGCCTCTATGTTGGATGGAAGTTGGCATACTCCTGATTGCTGGATCTTAATTGGTTTATTCTTTATAATTGTTCCATGTGATTTTGGAGACCAATAGTTTATCTTTCTATGTGTTTGCCATAGTTAGTACTAGAGAGGATGTATTGGAGATTGGTGATAGAAGGTGTATAAATATTATTGCAAGAGGATAAAATTAGAGCATTAACCTGAATGGTTTGTCTTCAATTAACTCAAATTCTGCGAAACCTTCTTGAATCTCTCATTTGTGTTTTTTAGCCTTCAGACATCTCTTGGTCCTGATGCTGCTTTGCATATCTCATTTATCATGCGAGTCTTCTCTCTTTGATTGGGTATTAGAATTATACCTGTCAATATTCAGCCTTCAGGCATCTCTCTGTCCTGATGCTTCTTAGCATATCTCATTCAGTATTGTGAATCTTCTCTTTTTGATTGGTATTAGATTTATATCTGTCAACATTCAGCCTCCCAAAAAGAGGTGTGCATAAAACAGTCATGCAAAGCATACAGGGAGGATTTCCAAAAAGAGGGCTAATATTTGTAATTTGTTGCATGATAACACAACACACTTTATGCAATCAATTCCTAAAAAAAATTGCTTTTATGAGTATAGCAGTGACGTTAAGTAGATGGTGCAATGTTGCCATTCTGCTTTTTTTTCTTCTCTGTTCCGTAGTTATCTGTTCAAAAGCAATGAATGCCAGTTGTTTTCACATTATCCACTTGAATGCGATTGATCACAGTTCATATCATGTGACCTTTGAGCTCTTTGCATTTTGTAGTACCTATGATGTAACATTTTTCAGTTTTGTTTGACACAAAGCATGTATGTTGCACAGGCAGTTCATGTAATCCCTCGGGTTGCATCTCTTCTGAAAAAATTGAAATAGAGTGTTCTGCTGTTCCCCAGCAGGGTGATTCAATGAGTTCAGATCAGGCAAATCCTAATTATTCAGATAATAATCCAGTGCTTCCTGATCTCTTGTAAGCTTTTCAATATAATCAGTTTTTAGTAGCTTCATTTTGTTCTCTCTTTTGTTTTGTTTTTTTTTATTTTACATTGATAATATTGTGATATGATGAGAATTTTTCTGAAAGTTCTACATTTGTGCTGCAGAAAAATGAATGAAGTTTCACATTCTTATATGCACCCATATGTCCACAAGGAACTGATGCAAATGCAGAGTGGGCTACTTTCAAAAGACAATATTTGTGAGTTGGAAGGTAGAAATAGAACTGACTAAGATTGAGGGTAGACATTTGCTTGTTAACTGCATCCCATGATTTGTCAATTTATACATATTCAATTGAGCAGGTTTGAGGGTGGGAGAAACCTCTCATCTGGAGGCGTCTTCCAATGCCAGTGTGTGCTGTGATCACCAGAAAATACATTCAAACTGTGATGTAATTTACAAATCTGATGAAGCAAATATAGAGAGGCTGATTAAGGCAAAGAAACTGGGAGTTTATGACCTGTCTCCCTCAGATGAAGTGGAAGGAGAAATCATTTATTATCAGCACAGGCTACTTGGCAATGCAGTTGCAAGAAAGAAATTTACTGGTCCCATCTTTTTCTCTTCTTGTTCTTGATTTCTTCCCTCACTTTCTGAGCAAATGTTCTGCCTTGTTCCATGAAATGGAAATGTATCTCTAAAGATTTTTTTTTTTTTTTTTTTGAAGCAATGTTTCTGCTTGTTCCCATGAAATGATGAAATGTATCTCTAAGATGTTTTTTTTTCTTTTCTGGTGAGCTACATCTTGCAGCACAATCTTTAACTTTGTAAGGGTATGCTAAGATTAGCGGCAAAGGGAGATTGAACATTAGCCAGAAGGGTCCCAGAGATGGGATGCTGGTACTTGTTAACCAGTACACTTTAACTGAGATTTAGAGAAGCCAAAGAAGAACAGACAGGCAGGGAAAGAAAAGAAAGCCATAAAGGAAGCCCAGTCGCTGTACTTGCTGCCAGCAACTGCGCTGCTGCAGCTTTCTTCTAGCGATTTCATCCATTTAGGAAAGACACATATTATGGAATACTACTCTTCAGGAGGTTCTAACTCTGACTTCTTCTTCCCTTCTAAAGATTTTTTTTTTTTTTTTTGGTGGCTATCTTGCAGACAATTTAATTTGTAAGGTTGCTAAGATTCTACCAAAGGAGATTGACATAGCCAGGGCCCAGAGATGGGATGCGGTACTTGTTAACCAGTACCTTAACGAGATTAGAGAAGCAAAGAAACAGGGCAGGAAAGAAAGAAAGCATAAAGAAGCCCAGGCTGTACTTGCTGCAGCAACTGCTGCTGCTGCAGCTTCTTCTAGGATTTCATCATTTAGGAAAGACACATATGATGAATCTACTCATCAGGAGGTTCTAACTGCTTCTTCTTTACCTAAAGTTCTAAATTATTTTTTCCAGCTTTTGCTGAGACAAAAAATTGGAACACGTCTGCTGAATCCATTATTTCATTATGCTTTTTGTTTTTGCAGAAATTGAACATTTCTAATGGGAGGGCTGGCATTTCTTCTCAGCTGATGCCACGTCCAAAAGAGACGCTTTCCAGGATGGCTGTTTCAAGGAACTCATCAGAAAAATTCTCTGATTTTGCTCAGTCTGTTTTAGATTTTTCTAAAGAGAATCCTAGGTCATGTGATATTTGCCGACGATCTGAGACAATACTGAACCCTATCTTAGTCTGTTCCAGTTGCAAGGTATTGTAGACTAGCCCATGATTTTTTTTTTTCCTTTTTGCTCTTTTTTTATTAGCATGATATAAAAAAGCTCTTCTGCCACCAGGTTGCAGTTCATTTGGATTGCTATCGCAGTGTCAAAGAATCTACAGGTCCATGGTGCTGTGAATTATGTGAGGAATTATTGACATCTAAATGCTCTACAGCTGCTTCACTCAATTTTTGGGAGAAGCCCTACTTTGTTGCTGAATGTGGTTTATGCGGTGGTACCACCGGTGCTTTTAGGAAATCTACTGATGGTCAATGGGTCCATGCTTTCTGTGCGGAGGTTGAAATTTTTATTTGCACCTGATTGATTTATTGTTTATATTTTTCCTGCCCAATATTTCAATAAAGTGCAACTATATCTAGTTATTATTTTGTCTTGCAGTGGGTGTTTGAACCAACTTTTAGAAGGGGGCAAGTGAATCCAGTAGAAGGACTGGTATGTGTACATCTTTTGTGGTGGTACTGTTGAGATCACATCTATTTTTAACAATAGAATTAGACATGGGGAAAGCAACTGTTATTTCCTTTCCGTGTTGTTTATTATTATTTTGCAATGATGTTATTTAACATTCACTTCTGTGTGTATTGGGATTCCAGGAGACAGTTTCTAAAGGAAATGATATCTGTTGTATTTGCCGACGAAAACATGGTGTCTGCATAAAGGTGAGTCTTAGCTTGATTGGTTCATAGAGTAATGGTTTTGACAGCCTGAGGTCCGTTGTGATGAAGAACTTTGATGGTTAACCCATTTCCATATTACTCTTCAGTGTAGCTATGGTCACTGTCAGACCACATTTCATCCCTCCTGTGCTAGAAGTACGGGTTTTTACATGAATGTTAAGACTATTAACAGCAAGTTGCAGCACAAGGCTTACTGCGAAAGGCATGGCTTGGAACAGAGGGCAAAGGTGCGAGCTTCTTGTTTGTGCTTAAAATATTTCACACTTCTATAACCAATGCCTTATCATGTGATAACTGAGCTTTGCTTGATTTAAACAGGCTGAAACTCAAAAACATGGAATTGAGGAGTTAAAGAGCATGAAGCAAGTCAGGGTATGGATGTGCTCTAAATGACTCTTATTTTTTATTCAGATGTCCATATTAATCCGGACTTCAGTGTATCGTATTTTGTACCGAGATTTATTTTCATGTTGATGTTATTGAAGTTCAGCTTTTTTCATAAGGAAAAATTGAGCTGAAATTTAAGGTTTTACCACTTCGTAATGACAATTTTATCTTCTGTGGAAAGCACCAAATATCGGAGCATGTTTAAACAGAGAAATTTGAGGGAAATAAATTAATTGTTTTCTCAAGGATACTGCGATTAGATTTTTGTGTGTTGAGTTTTTCTTTATATCGTCCCTCAGATGATTTTTTTTCAAATTTCTTTGTTTTTTTTTTTTGTCCCTCGGATGATTTTAAAATATATGACAAATATTTATTCCATGTTTACATGGACAAACTTTCCAAAAGAATGGATCATATATTTTATTGGGTCCCTGGTTCAACAAATCACTTAAAAACTTTCTGCATTGTTTACTGTGCTGCTTCTGGCAAATTTTCTTACACCTCTTTATGCTATTTCTACTATTGGAAAGTCTTTCTTTCCACCTTCCCATTTTGGCGGTAGAGTCAACTAATTGGGTTCTTTTACGAATGCTTCTTTACAGGTTGAACTAGAGAGGTTACGCCTTCTTTGTGAAAGAATCATTAAACGTGAAAAGATAAAGGTACCTATTGCTTGACTTGGTGAACCATTATATGATATCTTGTCTTTAGATTTTTAATTTGCAATTAAATATGTAGAGTGGATGTCATAAATGAGCCAATTAAATCATATCTTTTTTATTCTATGGTTCAACAATTTGCCCTAATGGAATTTACTCCATACAAGTAATACCATCTTTTTTTTCCCTTCTAGTTCTAATAAACATTTTTGCTTTTTGGCAAATGTGTTATAACACTTGAAATTTGTTTTCTTATGGTTTCTTGCAGCGGGATTTAGTTCTTTGCTCACACAGCATACTTGCGTGCAAACGAGACCATGTTGCTCGTTCTGTGCTTGTTCATAGTCCTTTTTTCCCACCAGATGTTAGTTCAGAATCAGCTACAACCTCTCTTAAAGGCAATACTGATGGGTATAAATCGTGTAGCGATGCAATCCAAAGATCAGATGACGTAACAGTGGACAGCACCATTTCTGTTAAGCATCTTAAAGTTACCATGGACGCAGACCAAAAGACAGATGACAGCTCCACATCCCAAAACCTTTTTACCCGAAAACCTTTGGAGAGGGTGTCATTTAAAATTAAAATTGGAAACGGTCCCATTGCCGAAATAATGGCTGGCGACTAAAAATGATTTATAAGACCGATTTATCGGCATTGCGTTCCCAAAAGGTTTTAACACCACTTTTCAATAATAAATTTCAATAAAAAGCAGTTTTTCGAGGTCCCTTCCGGGGTTTTTGGGGATCTCCTTTGGGGCGAAAACATACGCGGACATGCCAGAAATCGACAGATCAATAGCAGAGCACTTCATTCCTACTGATCCGAGTGTTAAGCCGTGTTTTCGCCCTAATTGAGATCCTTTAAAACCCCGGAAAAGAATCTCGAAAAACTTCTTTTACTTGTTTAGAATTATTATTGGAAAGTGGTGATAAAACCTTTTGGGAATATGGTGCTGATAAATCGGTCTTATAAATTATTTTTAGTCGCCACCCATTATTTCGGCAATGGGATTATCTGATTTATGGAGGGAGAATGGCCGAAAGATAGGCTGTGATATGTGTTCTGGAATCTGGATGGTGTATCCTCATGAATAGGGATTAACATACTGGACAGGGCGGGGAGTTTTTGCATCATTGTTGTATATTCATTGTGAGAGTAAATTGTACAGTGGGTGAGGGTTTATTCTGTTACATGTAATGCAAAGCGGCAGAAAATTCCAGTACCTTGACGGGTGTCTTGTGGTTGATAAGCTCAGCTTCATGTATGTTAATGCAAGAATTTTAAAGGTATCATCACCTACTGTGCTTGGGCTGTAAAGTTATTGTAAATATTCCTACAGTATCAATCCCAGAGAAATTGGCTCAACTTCAGATTGATGAAGGGTCCGCTCTAACTTGTCTCCTCATATATCTTGTCTCCTCATATATCTTGTTATTAACATTTTTCAGTTCTCACATTTGCTACAGTTAGGCTTACAGATTGTTGTTATTTGAGGTTGCAGTCTAGCGGTAGTTTTCCGTTGGGGAATCTGATGGTGCCAGTTCTCTGTTAATGCAACAATGTATTTAGTGGCAAAGGAGATCTTTTCTTGTTCTTTTGTTCCGGAGTCTGCGTTTTTTTCTTTTTCTCTTGTTTGGATGTTCTGCCAAGTGCACGAGGTTTCTTGATAAAATTATTTGTGATCTCGGACACGTGAGAAACAGGAAAAGAAGGAAGAAAAGACCAAGGAGGAAAGATAATGTTGTTTTGATATCAAACCTTTTTTGATGAAATGTAATAGAGAATCATATTTATACTCGTAAATAATGAGAAATTCGTTATAATCAAAAGCTCTGATTATTTCATAAAACTATAAAGGAAAATAAAATATTTACAGAATTATTTTTTTTGTACTTGTAATAAAATAAAACTAACAAGAATCATATTCATACTTGTAATTTATTTATTTTTACTTTTTTCTAAAAATAAATATTTCAACAAATATTTTTTATTTATATTTCAAGAACGCTCTTGGAGGCAAAGGGGCTGACCCGTTTGCATCTCCTTTGCCGCTGAGTTCAATATTCTGAATTTTAACACTTTCTAAAGCTAATCTTTTTGATTTATTAGTATTAACTTATTTTATCATTACAATTATTGTAGCTATTAGATTTCTATCTAAAATTATTGACGTGACTGTTAAATACACAATTTGGTCACTTTTTTTTTTTTTCTCATAATGTGTTGGTTTATCTATCCAGTTGTCATGTGACATCATGCCATTTGTTGATTTCCACTTTTTTTTTTTTTTTTTTTTTTTACTTGTAATAAACAATTAAGAACTTAAACAGAATGTCATATTTCATACTTGTAATTTTATTATTTTACTTTTTCTAGAATATTAAATATTGTCAACAAATATTTTTATTTATATTTTCAAGAAACGCTCTTGGATGGCAAGGGGCTGACCCGTTTGCATCTTCCCTTTGCGGCTGAGTTCAATATTCTGAATTTTTCAACGACTTTCTAAAAGCTAATCTTTTTTGATTTATTAGTTAATTGATATCTTAAATGTTCTATTCATTACACATTATTGAGCTTAGTTAGATTTCGTACTCTTATTCAAATTATTGACGTGGCTGTAAAATTACCACAATTTGGTCACTTTTTGCTTTTTTCCATAATGCTGTTTGGTTTATCTCTATCCAGTTGTAACATGTGACTCATGCCATTTGGTTGATTTCCACTTTTTTTTTTTTTTTTTTTTTTAATCTGTTCAAGGAATTCTATTAATAAATAATTTAAATTACATATATATAATTTCTAAATTTTTTTTTTTTTTTTTTTTTTTTTAATTTCAAGAATTTATAATAAAAATTTAAAATTACATAAATAATCTAAATTATGGAATCATTATCTTTTGAGGTTGAATATATCAAATTAAAGTGCATTCACAATTCATAATTTTTATACTTGTTTGGTAATTATAAATTTTTTAAGTTACCAAAAAAAGAGTGTACTCAGTTGATAATAGAATGCCACATGGCAGCTAGTCGGATGAATCAACACATTTTGAGGAAAAAATTTAACTTATTTTTCCATACTTGTCAACCATCTTAACAGTTTCTAACAAGGCTAGATTATAATGATAAAATAAATAAAAATACTATTTGATAAATTAAAAGAATTTAATTACAATTTTTTTTGAACTCGATTTAATTAAAATTTTAAAAAAGTTAATTTCCGGATTTTTTTGGTCCATCTGTTTTTTAGATGGAATGTTTGCTTTTATTTAATAGCAATACAGCACAAGGGCGAGGTCCGAGTATGTTTCGGAAAATGGTACGAGAAAGCATGGGCCTAAAAAAGCCCAACTTTATGCCCCGTGATTTTTTAATTTTGTAGATTTGCGAGCCCATTCGTTGCTAACATCCGAGACCAACAATGGGTTCTATAGAGACTCCAGCAAATCCGGAAAACGGATCTGCAACTTCGGCCCCTGCCGACGGCGACCGAAAGCCTCAATCTGCCGTTGAAGGAATGCCTCCTCTGGCTGCCGAAATGATTCTAACGGAATCTGACTCGTTGAAGAAGCGGAAGGCGAGTATGTTACCACTGGAGGTAGGTACTCGGGTGATGTGCCGTTGGAGGGACGGCAAGTACCACCAGGTAAAGGTCATCGAGCGCCGCAAGATGCAGTGCGGTGGACCCAATGATTACGAGTATTACGTCCATTACACCGAGTGTAAGTATCAATTAATTGTAGGTTGCTAATTTTGATGCTTAGGATTTGAATTAGGGTTAGGGTTTATATGCTTGGAAGTATAAAAATGGGCGTTTGTCTGGTAATGAATAAACTTGTCTAAATTTTGTTGCTTGTTTTGATGAATCAGTTTTTAGCATTTGCCGTTTTTATATATGGATCACCAAATTTATGTCATCATACAAACTGAAATTGAACCTACGTAAAGCCAGTTATGTTCAGGCTTGGTCAACCGTGTCCTTTGTAGCTTAGTCTTGAATCAAGTTCGAATTCTCCTGGTGGAACAAATATCTTTTCTTAGCGTATTCTATAAGGATCTGTGTTATGAATTTTGACAGCCAATATGGGAGAATGGATAAATTAATGAATGAAATATTGGTTGGAACTTGGAAGGCAATCCTACTAGTAAAAGACTAGTCGAAGCAGACAAATAATGGTACTGAAGAAAAGGCAAGGTTTTATCAGTATAAAATATGCGTATGCATATGTGAGATGGTTGGAACCATTACAGATGTTTAACTATTAAAAATATCTTCTGGAAAGACAAAAATAAAAAAAAAAAAAAAAAGGAAAAGGAAGAAGAGCAGAAGAAAGAACTGACTGAATAGATTCTTTATGTGCCAATTGTTGCAGAACTAGTGCATCACTTACTTTTGCTTTGCTGTAGGACTAAGCAACTTTGAGAGCTTACTACTAATACTATCGTATTGGGAAGCTTTTCCGTAGCAGCATGGGTGTGTGTTGAAGCTTTTGGACATATCTATTTTTGTGGCATTCTTCAAGCCTATATTAAATTTCTTTGAAAGCTTTTCCTCATTTCTCTGAAACCTCATACATTGTTTTTTTTGAAGTTTTATTCATTGTTGTTTATCTTTTACATTTACCCTTTGCAGTTAATAGGAGGCTTGACGAATGGGTGAAGCTTGAACAACTAGATCTTGATTCAGTGGAGACTGTTGTTGATGAGAAGGTGGAAGATAAGGTAACTAATCTGTTCCTTTAATTGTCAGTAATTGCATCATGACATCCTCACTTCAAATATTTGTATGGATCATGTTTGGCATGTTATGACACTTACACTCTCTATATCAGATGAAAAAATAATTTTTGTTAAAAGATATGGAGCTTGACGACCAGACGTGGCAAAATGCTAATTCAATATTCATATTTTATTCTAAGTGGCATAGATTACGATAAATGTTCCCCCTTATCTCTTTAAAAATCTTTTGCTGGTACGAGCTTCCTTCAGATGAGTCTTTTCTTCCTAATTCTTTGATCTGATTATAAGAAATTTATAAATGATATTTTCAGGTAACAAGCTTGAAAATGACACGCCACCAGAAACGTAAGATTGATGAGACACATGTGGAGGTATGTGCAAGTTTCAACATGTTCTTTGTTTTTGTATTGTTTGCTTCATAGAATTATTTTGAATCATCAAATACATTTGGTTTACCAGCATTGAAAACATGAGTTCTCTGATCACTTTTATGCTATACAAGTGAATTGCATAATTTGCTCTTAAGACACCTAAAATATTCAGATGCATATAGAATAAGCTTTAGTAACTTTTATGATCTCTCTCTCTGATCTGCATCCTGACACCATATCACACTCTTACACTTGCATATGTGAACAGAATTATACTTGAACAAAAAGTCAGACATAATAATAGCAACTATGATCCCTATGAAGGATTTGAGACTTGGGAGATTAATTGACAAAATGTGGCCACAAGAAACCATATTGAACTTTCTGAATTTTATAATCTGAATGTAGGGCCATGAGGAGCTTGATGCAGCTAGCTTACGTGAACACGAGGAATTCACCAAAGTGAAAAATATAGCCACTATTGAACTTGGAAGATATGAGATCGAGACATGGTACTTCTCCCCCTTTCCACCAGAATACAATGATTCTGTGAAGCTGTACTTTTGTGAGTTTTGCCTCAATTTCATGAAGCGCAAAGAACAGCTTCAAAGGCATATGGTGAGCTGTGTCTGGAATTTCTTTCTGAGCTTTACTGTGCTCAAATTGTGTCTGCTCTAAATGAGAAGTTTATGTTTCCAGTCTTAAGTATAGTTTTGATCCATGGGGTTGAGTTGAATACTGACTGATCATTTTATAAGTTTGGATTTCTTTGTACATTATGCAATCTATTGTGAACAGTGTTCATCATGTTCTTAAGTTTCTTAGAAATCCAGTTTGAGCAAACAAGCTCTCTCTACTCCAGAGAAATGTTTCAAACATCATGTCATGATGGAATTTCTTCTTTGGGTCTTTTTTTTTCTCCTTTTTTTTCATTTGTAATCGCTCTAATAACATGCTTTGTCATGAATTTGTCTATCAAATTTCGATCAAATTTCATACTTTTCATCCTTCTTAATGAGAATTAGATGCTTTGTGACTTGAGCTGTTAAACAACCTTGTCTGGATTATTTATCTGGAATTGTTTTGGTCGTCATGATTTCTTTGTACCATTGCCCAGCAACTTGATTTTTAACACGTCAACTGTAGTTATGAAAGAGGAAATTTGCACTTGATTATCTTGGTTTAACCCTCTCTATCCTTTTTTTCTCCCTTTTTTTAGTTATTTTCCTTTACTTTTGTACATAATTATGAAATGTTGAGCGGTTGTTTTGTTATTTTTTCTCTCTATCCATCATCTTGCTCCTCTCTCTAATTTCTTGGTATGGCTTGTGCAGAGGAAGTGTGATCTCAAGCATCCTCCTGGTGATGAGATTTACCGAAGCGGTACATTGTCAATGTTTGAGGTATGTATTATGTAAATGAGTTTGTTGGAACTTATGCTGTTATTTAATTGAATTTCTAATATCTTGTTCTGGGGGGTTTCTGGTGCAAATATGCAGTTGATATCTGTTGTCCAAAACTTATATTGATGCTCGCCAATGTTATAGTTGATAAAAGGACTGCTGCTCTTTTTTCCATTGTTTTCTTTTCCACCCACACAAACTAATTCCTGGTTTAATGTAAACCCAAAAGGTCAATGAACTTGGGGAAAATAGCATATTTGATTTTGGTTTTGAAACATTGAGATGTGATATTGGTGTTTTCCCCAGCATTATCCTTGTGTAATTTTCACATCACTTTAGAACCTCCTGTTATTTATTTATTTATTTTCCTTCTGTGAAAGCCATATCTGAAGGCAGTGGTTCATTTGGGTTTGAATTTTTTTGATACAGGTTGATGGCAAAAAGAACAAAGTTTATGGGCAAAACCTTTGTTATCTGGCAAAGCTGTTTCTTGATCATAAGACTCTTTATTATGATGTTGACCTGTTTCTATTCTATGTTTTGTGTGAATGTGATGATCGAGGATGTCACATGGTTGGATATTTTTCCAAGGTATTCTTTCTCTTGCATTGTCATTGCTATTAATGCAGGTCGCAACACAGATTAACATTATGGTGAAATCTTTAAATCATCAGCATCAGTGACTTGAGAAGCATTTGAAATATTTCTTTTGGCACCATTTTACGTGATTTTTCCTATTTTCACATGAAATACTATTGCTTTGAGTACTTTTACAAGATACTATTGCTTGAAGCATGTGAATCCACTTCTAGTTATTAGTTTGCTTGATTAGCCAAGTTTCAAGGTGGCATTCCTTCACCTTTGTTGTGAATATGCATGTTTTCAGAAACTTTAATAATATTATAACCAAATATATTTCTATGTGATGTTGGTACAGGAAAAGCATTCGGAGGAATCCTATAATTTAGCATGTATTCTTACTCTTCCTCCTTACCAAAGGAAAGGCTATGGAAAATTTTTAATTGCCTTCTGTAAGCTCTCTGCCAAATAGTCTCCTACTTTTATTAGCTTATGTGAATATTTGCATGAATTATGTGCTGGTTCTTTTTTTTTTTTTTTTTTCATGTATTCTTACTCTTCCTCCTTACCAAAGGAAAGGCTATGGAAAATTTTTAATGTGCCTTCTGTAAGCTCTTCTGCCAAATAGTCTCCTACTTTTATTAGCTTATGTGAATATTTGCATGAATTAATGTGCTGGTTCTTTTTTTTTTTTTTTGTTGCCTTGTTTTCCTTTTTACTTTATTAATTAATTTGTGAGAGGGATTTTATGGTTGAGGAATAAATTTTAACAATTTGTGAGATGGTTAATTCTCTAAATATTTGAAACATAAGAGATAGTATTTTTTTTTTTTTTTTTTTTGTGCCTTGTTTTCCTTTTTACTTTATTATTATTTGGTGAGAAGGATTTTATGGTTGAGGAATAAATTTTAACAATTTGTGAGATGTTATTCTCTAAATATTTGAACATAAGAGGATAGTAAGTTGCATAATTAAGATGATTGTCATCTTCAATTAAGTCGATCTATAAATACCTGTTTAGAATGCCCAAATTCCTGAAGTTCTCCAGCATTCAAGTTTTTAATCAATATTTGGGCACAATTATCTGCAAATGCTTTAACTATCCAACGTTGCTATGGTTGAACCTTTTGTAAGGGAATAATAAGATCAACCGTGTCTAGTACTAATTCCAAATTCTAGATCTGCGCTACCCACAGTAGCTTTTCACTTGTCCATGTAATAAAGATAGATCTTATTCATGTTTTTAGTTTGTTTATTCTTGTATATAGCTGATAGTGAAACTTTTTGTTTTGTGTGGAGCAGCGTATGAACTTTCAAAGAAAGAGGGTAAAGTTGGTACACCTGAAAGACCACTATCTGACCTAGGGTTGTTGAGCTACAGAGGATACTGGACCAGAGTTCTTTTGGACATCTTGAAAAAGCACAAGGGCAATATTTCTATCAAGGTATATATTTATGGCCAAGACAAGTTTGATTCTGCAGTTTCAACTGCTCCTTTTGCCTTTTGTGAATCTTAGTTCTGTTGGGGACTACCCATGGAAGTTGATGCCGTTCACAACTCTTTTCTTTTCTCGTGGTAACACATGCAAAAAATGCTGACTTTTCATCTTCCCCATTATTCAATAACCTGGTTAATTGAGACACAAAACACATGCTATTGCCTGTAGTTCTTTCTTCGTGCAAAATAACTTGAAATCATTTTGTCACTATATTTATATAAGATTTCTTAATGTTTGGTTTATATTGGTGGTGCCATATTATTTGATTTGACTAGCTTGATTCTCCAATCACTCTTTTACAGGAGCTAAGTGACATGACAGCCATCAAGGCAGAGGATATTTTAACCACCCTTCAGAGCCTAGAATTGATTCAATACAGGAAAGGGCAGCATGTGATTTGTGCAGATCCTAAAGTGTTGGACCGTCATCTAAAAGCTGCTGGTCGCGGTGGTCTTGAGGTCGATGTTAGTAAATTGATCTGGACTCCTTATAAAGAACAGGGTTGATTATGATCTAGTAATTGCTGTGTAGTTTGACTTGTACCTTTGCCTGTATAAATTTATCTTTTAGTAGCATGAAATTAGGTGAATATTAGAGCGATGGCTTCATAGGGACATGATCTCAGTCACAGCCTGTTTCTTACCTATCACAAGTAATAATATGTTCCGTAAATTTGATCTTTTGGTGTATCAAATCATATTACTCATTCAATCTTCTTGGTTCCCAAGATTCTCGGTTCTATATGGATCAGTCAGTTGTGTTACATTTTTAAGTTAACTCAGAACCATTTTAAGGGGTTGCCTGGTTTTGTTACTTTAGATTGTTATTTAAGTCGAATGCTTGAGATTGTCATTTATATATAATTGGAAGCTAGCATTTGATTTTAAATTGATACCGTATAAAATGGTAACAGTGGGTCAATGGCCTTACTGCGCTCGTCATTTTCATGTCAAGTTTTCAATTTTCAAGTTCCAAACGAGTTTCTTCTAAAGCACTATTTGAATTTTGTCGAAGATGACTGTCTTGACTTGACACTATCTTTTCCGTTACTTTTGCTTACCACTAATTTTCCTCTCTTTTTTGGCCTTTTGAATTTTATAATTGTGTCGACACTTAGATGTCCTCTTTTTCCCAATTCTAACTTTTTCAACTGATGCTTGTTTGATGTCATTTCTTGTTTCATTTGCAATTGCACGCATTCAATTTATTATATATCGTCTTTTTTTTCTTAAAAAAAAAAGTATAAATTTCATAATAAGATGGCTTTCTTTTCTCCTTCTAGAATCCTCAATACCATCTAATTCGAAATTCGAACAATTTTTTTACTCATCAAATTTATGCATTTAGCCTTTGTACACTCTATACCCTCTTTTTCTTTTCTCTCTTCCTCTCCATTATAAATAATTAATCCAAGCACAGTCCTGCTTATGTAAAGCAACATTATGCACCTTCTTTAACATGATTTTTCTTATGTGGTTTTGATGGAATTGACAAACTAAAGACTACGCTGGTCCGACCCAAAGGACTAGACACCACCCACCACCCTTAACCACCGCCATGAAAAAGACATTACAAGACTTGTAATAAAAAGAGCAGGAAAAGAAGAACTCAAAAAGGGAAAAAAATAATAATAATAATAATAATAGTAACAAACTAGATCTTATAGCCATTTAGATATATATTCATATCTATTCATGTTCATGTACATATCCTTTATAGCATCACCGTAATTCGATTGCTTTTATAACATTGAAATTGATCAATTAATAACAAAATTCAAATTAAAAATAAACCCATTTACATGTCCTAATTATTTACCTCTCAAACAGTAGTTGGTGCAAAATTTTGTCTATTAAGTTGAATCTGTTTCAACTGCAAATTTTTCAGTGGAACCCCACCAGATCTTCTCTTCCACAGAGTTTCTTCTTCTCCTGCTCCATTTGGCTTATGCACTTTTTTGATAACAGGCAAAGGAGGATCCATTTCTGCAATATTAATAGAAACTGAATTCTCTTTACTATCTTCAATCTTGGGCATTCCTTTTGCACCATCCAAGGTCAGTCCTCTTCTTCTACAACTAGTGGTGGAAATGGTGCTAGTGAAATTATTCTTACCAGAAAAGATTCTCTTGAGCTTAAAGTACTTAACAGAAGGAATGTCGTTTCTTGTTGTGAAGGTGATCTTGTTAGAAGATGATGAAGAAGAAGAGGAAGTAGGAAAGCCAATTATCTTGTTGTGTTTCTTGACCTGACCCATGCAACCAATCTTTGGCGATAAAGGTTCACTAGAGAAGGACATAGATCTATCTTCCAATTTGTTGGGAACACAAACATCTTTGATAGATGGTCTTGAACATAACATAGGCAAGAATGTGGATTTATGGTAGAGTTGAAAGTTTTGGTGGTGATTGTACCCATTACCCATGTTCCTTTTGATTCTTGCCCTTCTTTTCTTGATTCTTGATTCTTGATATTCTTGAATCTTGATTCTTTAATTACTCTCTTTACACAGAGAGCTGAGCCAACAAGAAGAGCAGATTATATTCTTGTAATCCTCTTGGTGTTTTCACAGACAGAAAACACAGAGAGAGACAGAGAGGGATACAAACACAAAGAAAGAGAGTTATGGAGGGTGTTAAAAAAAGTGTAAGATAGAGAGAGAGTGTGTGTGTTTGTCTCTCGTTGCTTAATTTAGCTATATATATATATATATATATATATAGAATATTTTCAAGGAGTAAAGTTTTTTATTTTTTCATTGGTGGACGCATGAAGAGGGTGTTTATTTATTTATATTTAATGTGTGAATTTGAGTCTATTGACTTTGTCAAAAAAAGAAAAGGAGAAAAGGAAATTAAAATGAATGGAAGAAAGTTTGGTTCCTTTACAAGAAGAACAAAGCTACATTACACTTACAGAAATGTATTTTTCTGTTCACAAAGTCGTCATTTAGCTCCTAATAGGAGACTTAAAAAAACAGGTAAAGACAGAAAATAGGGTTTGGATTAGTTGAATAGAAGAAATAGCATTCGAAAATGAAGTACATCCCTCTCAAAGGGAGACCATTATTTTGGTGTGTAGCAGTTTAGTTTTTATGAGGACGCGTAATTCAAAGAAAGGCTAAGGATAATAATTTAAAGGTCCCTAACCCTACCAAGTTTTGCCAAGTTCACAACCTACTTGTGCTAAAATCATTTTCTGACCCTCCTTTTGTCTCCTCATCTTCTACACCACCATATGGGTTGTTGGACCCTACCGTATCATAATATTACTTGCCGATTCATATTCATATTATTTACATCACATTTTTTTTTTTAATTTATTGGAGGTTTTTATAGGCCGAAATAATACTGCGAGCTATATAACAGTAAAATAATTTTTATTGACTAAATTATCAATATATGTATTTTATTAAACCATACAAATAAAATATAACAGAGGGAGTATAATTTTAGTTGTTATAAATAAGAACTTTGTGTTTTAATTATAAAATTTAGAAAACAATTACAAATTTTGGTAATATATATGCACATATAGGTATTTATATATACATGAAACGAATATGATTAGTAGGATTTAGATTTTTTTTTTCCTTATTATTTAAAGTTCTATCTCATCGAGTAAAAATTTAAGAATAATATTCTTGAATACTATATCGATATAGAAGAAATGTAATTTAAAATTGACTAAAAAAAAAAAAAGATTTAACTCGATACATATAAATACTCAAATATTTTAAAATGAGCTATCATGAAAATGCTCTTTCCAAAATATTACTTTCTATATTTTTTTTATCAAATGATAGTTCACTTGTCATTTTAATAAGTTACTAGTTAATATGTTAAATATCTATTATTTATTTTTTTAACTAAAATAACTAATTTTTTCTAATTTCTATAAAATAGAAAATGTATCTATCAATTTGGGACGGAGAGAATAAATCTTATCCATATGTTTTATAACATGCCTATATGTTGATATTTACATGTTACTTACACCAGAGAGCTAAGTGGAAAAATTATTGATAACAAGGCATATTAGATGAAGGAATATTATAAAATTAAGAAATTAATAACACTTTTGAAAAGAAGTAAATAAAAAAAAAAGAAAAGAAAAGAAAAGCAAGTCTACATTTATGGAACAAGAGAGTATTCTCCGAAAAAGATGGTAATTAAAGACCGTGAAAAAAAAAAGTGTTACACTTCAAATTAGTGCAACAGAGCATACATAAAATTACAGATTCTAGAATTGCAATCTCTTTACTGTGTTTATATATATATATATATTTTAAAACATAATTGCAGAGGTGTCATGTCTGTAAGCCATTTAGTGAACATGTAAGGAAATTTTAATCTATGTCTGTTCTCGAAAATCCAAAGTCCTTGATTGAGATCAAAGATAAAATAGATGACAGCATCTGTCAAAGGGATCAATAGATAGATAATAATATTAATTAATAATGCAAATCACATGAGATGGAACAATTTTCAGTCATTTTCCAAGAAGCTTGATCATATATAATATACATATAAATGATGTTATTTCAAAATTAAATTAAATTAAGTCATTAACATAAGTTAATCACTTGAAGGAAAGCTGGTCATCGTCAACTTCATACTAAAATAATTTCTGGTGTACCTTTCCAAATGGATATTTTGTGGTATCTCAAATAAATAAATAAATAGATATTTTGTATGTTTAATTAAAATTCCAATTTACAAATTGTCACTGTCTAAAAGCAAAGCAAAGCATATGAGCCACAATGAAATTAATTAAAGTTAGAAGACTTGAAACAAAAATTCCAAGTCTCCGCCCCATTTTTGGGTTTCCACTTAGGATATGATTTGGAAGTTTTGTAAGGTACTGTTAAAATTTTAAATTGTTTGTTCAAGAGATTTAAGGGAGGAGAGAGTTTCTTTTGTATGGTAATTTTAATTTTAGTTTATTTCTATATTTATTATCAATAAATTATAGAAAACTATATTTTTTTCTCACAATTAATTTTTACATAACAGTACTAATCTATTTTCCATAAATCTTTAACATTTGAAATTTTTATAAAATAATTTTATAATTAATATGAAATTATAGTTTAATTACTAGCCAATATATATTTCATAATTTATTATCCAATGTAAAAATCAATATAGAGAAAAAAATTTATTTAAGATTCAAATATACATATATAAACGATTTAGCTCCGTTTGAACAGTTTTGACTTTAAAACAATAAAATTGAGTTGAAAATTAGATTTTTAAATTTTATAAAATTAAATCAAACTATCAATTTTAAAACTGCAGTCTTTAATCGAGTTGAATCGGTTTGAACGGGTGAAATAGTTTGATAACACCCCTACAAATCAAGTTCAACAGTAAGCGGGTGATCACATGCAGATCACGTGCGCATATGAACGTCCAAAAAGGGTTGATCAGAGATGATAGATGTATACAGCTCGGCCGACACGCCACACTTGTTCGCATGTGTTGGGCACGTGAAAGCCACATTTCCTTTTTTTATCATTCTGATCCAAACATCCAACACAACACAACGCTGCCCCAATTATTATATTTATTTATAATTATATATAGGTCTATTTCAGTCATTTTCTACCTACAAAATCCCTTTTTGATTTTCTCTACAAAAGTTAGTACATTACATCCATTTTCAATTTCCCATTTCTGACCCGAAATTTTTTTTTTTTTTTTGAAGAAACCCGAATACTTATTTTTGATTTCAAATAAAAAAACATTCAACTAACTCATGTAAAATAAGCATTTTTATGCATTATATTTTAATGCAAAATATAATGCATTATATTTCAATTTTACTTGTACGAATATACTTAGAATATTTAAAAAAGAAAAGTATCCTATCGTCTATCTACAAAACTAAAATTTTATTCTTAACAAAATATTAAAATAACATTAATCAATAAAAGCTCATCATGTGTCAAAATCAACAAATCGAAAAATATAAAGATATATATATATTGCGTGCAAGCAAATTCATTCTAAATATTATATTTTTAATTTCGTAATAACTTCAATTTTGAGAAAGGAAATCTATTATGCTATTAAAATTACGAATATTGATAACATTACATAATACCACAAGTTTTAATCAATATTTTTCATATGTTTCAACAACGTTCAATAAAATAATTTTATAAATTAAAGTTTTTTTTTTTAAAATGTTGATTTTCAGATTTACATTAGAATTCTGTTGCGTGCTTAGTTTGCCTCATTTTTTCTTAAGCTAAGTACTATAATCCTTAGATTTTTTTTTTTTTTATTTCGTCGCATAGTATGATATTATTGACTATTGCTATTTTAGCACTCCATTTATTTTTATTTTTTTATTTAAGCTGTTACACAGAATTAAGGAAATAAATGTACTATCATCTAAATTATCATGAAATAATCTTTAATTAGAGTAAATTATCTTTTATCTCACACAATTATTTCAATATCAATAATTCTCCTATTAAGAGAATGTTTTAAAAAATTATAGAAACAATCATTATATTTACTAGAAATTGAAAAAAAAAAATAATTAACACTCAATGTTTTTTACGACCGCAATTAAAATTGGACAGAGGAAGTAAATTTTAATTTAATAGATAGAATGTAATTCTGTGTAAGGAAATTCAAATGATGTGATTTTAGAAATATATTTTATTCCCAAAAAAAAATCAAGTAATCCCATTTTGACAATCTTTTAAACGTTCAGTGTTTGTTAACCGTACACGTAGACATTCCCTTAATTGCTGTCAAATAAGACCTCGATGAACACAAAATTTAGAGTAGCGCATGATATACCTAACGTATCAAATTCAAAGATTTCGTTAGTTATTTCTTCTTGTAACAATTTGAAAATAACAAAATATATAAAAATTGTAACAATTTGAAAGACACAAAATATATAAAAATGTTCTACTACCTTACATTAATAGAATAAAGCTATTTGTCTCAAACGAGCTGGCTCAAGAGGGCTAATATTGGTTTTTCCACTTTCAATTTGAAACAACTAGCATCAGCTTGACAATAAATTTACATTTGACTCCTATTAAAAATAATATTATTGCTTACGCTAGAAAATCAGGAGATTATCTGAGTTGAAATCGAGTTTTGACAAAGACTTCCATAAGCAAAAATAATAACACCAAAATGCCTTCCACAAGGACAAAATAAAAATAAATAAATAAATAAAACAGATATATATATTAAGAACATGCATTTAGACCCCATTCATGTCCTTGTAGAAGGCATATCTGAACCTAAAATTATTTATAGGTCCGAAAATAATTGAAAGATTGTCCCCCCAACAAAAACCCTCCATCCATATAATATTTATGTATTGGCTGATCTTGTTAGGTGATAAAAGAAGACTCTTTCTCGTGCTTCACAACTAGAAGGAAGAGGGCAGACAGGTCAAGGAAAGATCCAACAACTGGAGAACAATCAATCAACCCTGATGCCACTGTTTCATAATAAAAAATAGATCACATTTACTGTGTTTCACCATCAACAAATACCCAGATATTTTGTTGCTGAGATTTTGATTCTATCATCATTGAATCAACCGTAGCTTCTGTTTCAGTGATGTGACTCTTTGAAATGAAACCAGTAATTAGGTGCATCCTATGGTTCATATTTTCTAAAACCTATGGCAGCCAATGAATAATAATTCTCACTTTCAAACATCAATCTTGACAAATCATCTAATAGTTGATCATTCCACGTCATGTTTTCATCTAATTTTTTTAAGATAAGGAAAAAATATATGCACAGAAATAGTATATGGTGTACTTCTGATTTCTAGATTATATTTGTCGGCTACAATTCTCATTTGCATTCATGAAAATTATATATGATTATTAAAATGGTGAACGAACCTAACAGGTAGACTCACAGGTTATGTAAAATGCCAGGATTAAAATAATGGTACAAGAAAAATAATTGTGCAAACCGGGGATATGGATTTTTTGAGGAACAGCAAGTTATTTGCAAATCAAGGTCCATGTGATAAGCAATCAGCTGAAAAATTCAAAAAGAATGTTTAAAAATAAGAAAAAAAAATTGCTAAAGAATCTAATAATTCTTGACAGTCTATACAAGAACTGGAAACAGAGAGAAGCAGCATAATCAAGAGATCAAATACTTACTGCAATAATTTGTGCACCATAGGATACCATTGCAAGAGAAATATGGAAAGAACTACAAGGAAGTACCTTTTTGATAGGTAAAAACAAAAAGCGCTGTCTGTCAAGAATATAATCATCCATGTCCATGTGCATTCTGATACCATGTAGTCATTTATGCTACATATAAGTGGAGAAAAATATCAGACGTATTCTGGGATCAGGTGTTGCTGAGTTGGTTTTCCGGTACTCAACTACATATATTTGACGCGTCACAAAATGGCACAATCAATTTCTGATTGTCCCTCACTGTTCTCCCTGCAATTTGGCAGAGGTAAGATGCTTGTTGCAACACAAAATCAAGATATCTCTCCCTTTAACAGAAGCATAAATACTAATGACAGCCTTTTGTGTTGGAAGTTGCATTGCTCCTACAGAGGACATGACCAGCCTCGGCAGATATTATTGAGAAGTCTCCTCCTTTTGCTCCTCTTCAAGCACCATTCCCTTGGCCTGTTCAGACTTTGATTCAACATTTTCCTCAGTAACAAGAGAGTCTGTGCCAGAATTATCCGTCGTAGTAATTTGTTTTTGTGATTCATCATTTGGCTCTACTACTCCAGCATCTTGATGTTTCTCGACAAATTCAACATCAACGTGGGCATGAATTTGAGAATTGGATGGAGTAGTGCCACCTAGCCCTTTGGAAAGACAAACATACTTGAAAACCAACTGTTTGTAATTATTTAGTAGATCTTCTACATCATTGATTGTCAGATCACCAACTTGAGCAAACAAGTATGGGTATTCTCGAAAGGCTAAACTCGCCAGATCCTCCTTCAAAAGCATGATTGCTCCTCTATTCTCGATATCTGAGAGGGATGGAACCTTTGCCATGGACGACTCATCTTTCACATATTGCCAGTCTCTATTGCCAGATCTTGTTTCAGAAGATTTGGATCGAATTGAGGAGTCCCTTTCTTTCTTAGAACTCAAAGATTGAGACTTGGATTCCACACTATTTCCTACATTTTGATCATTTTGATTAGATAGACTATCTGAATCAGTTGAAAGTCCAGAGAGAAGCGCTCGAGCAAATTCCATGTTCTTTTCAAATTCAGTTTCCTCCATTGAAATAGATTTTGCATCAATGTTTGAGACAAAAGACTCTGCAGAGAGCATATTTGTGAAAAAGTAGGCTGCTTCTGCAACTAGCCGGGATTGACGCCTGTACCGTTGTATGTACAATAAATTTGAATGCAGCTGTGGAGGGTTTGCCTGCATAAGTGAAGTGGTTTTCTGAAACTTAAATCATATTTTAAATTGAATTAAATCAAGAGAAAACTTAGAAAATACAGAAATCCCTGCATATTCAACTATGCATTAGTTTTTTAGCCAAGCATTGATTTCAGGCATGAGCTTGCTATTAGATAATATAGACTTCAAAAGGCAGAAGAGAGCTATGCACAGTATCATGCTTCACATTAATAGAATGAATTCCATAGATTTTTATAGATCTTGGGTTTGATATTATACAATGCAGTACAACTTGAGAATGAAAATTTACAAATTTAAAACAGTTGAAGACAAATTTAATGGAGGCAAAGTAAAATATTAACCATCTAACAGAGAAAGAAATGCAATGATCAGTACTGAATAATTTTTTCCATTAATATACATAATGCAACTTATTGTCTATAGACTATAAGTCAATCTTTTATAAGCACGCATGCCTGCAAAAGGGACAATAAGTAATTCATGTTTAGGGATCTTACCTTTATAGTAACATATATTAGGACAGGAAGAAATTCATCAGCTCCAGGAGGATTCTCATTGGAAGCAATTGATGCATTAAGCAATAAGTTATTTATGACCTTGCAACAATTGAGAATGCACACAAGTTTGTCTCTTGGTGCTTTGTACATGTTGATCTTTTGCAGTTCTTTCTGGGCAAGCTGAAAATACAAACAGAAAGTTGCAGGTAAGAAAGCTAAATATAAATGTGATAAGGCTAAAGTTATAACATCAGGACCTTTGACCCATAGTCACTGATAGAAGTCAGTACATGAGTTCACTTTCTATTCTCATTTCCAGCAATAAAGAGCTCACTCAGCTAGAAGATGATAATTTGGCTGCTACAAACTCATAAATCGAGCTAAAAGTCTAAAAGGAAGATAAAGTACACAAATTCTAGAAAGTATCAAGAACCATGGTCAATCATAACTTGGTCAAAGTTGGAGTTCAGGTTGTCACGCATTCATGGATGTAAAACATCCCAGGGGGTGAAAACCTTCAAACGTTTGAACTCTTACACATTGTAGTGAAAGAAATATAAATGTCATATCAATTAGATGGACAGTAATTTGTATAACAACATGACGCACAAAGATTGAAGAAAAAAGTCCATAATGCAATAGGGAACATCATAATACTCCTAAAACATGAATGAATAAAAGTACATCCATTCAATTCAGAATTCATACTCCAGCTATGTTCAATTCAGAATTTATACTCCAGCTATGTTCTTTATTGCTTTTGAGTTCTTTATTTATGATTTTTTTTTTTCTTCAAGTAATTGTTTCTTTCTTTCAACAGCTTCAGATGCCTCGTACACCTTGTAAATTAGCATATTTGAATCAATAGGATTATCTAATTTTAAAATTGAAAATATAGTTTTCTTGATCAGCTATGCACTATTTTGAATATCCTTCCGACTTACCAGCCATGATGTTTCATTTTGAAAGGTTGGCTTAATGTCCAAATTTTCTGGTCGAATGAACTGTTGAATCAAAGACATCTTCTCAGAAAGTTGCTCATCAACTTTAACATCATCTGGAATTGAAGCAAATACACGGGTAAATAACTTCGTCATTACATACTTCTCGAGTCCCTGTATTTGAAAGAAATCCAAATCCAAATGTAACACGTCCAAATTAATAAGACCATCATCCAGTAACAGCACTATGTAATTACATTATTTTTGTCAGGGGCAGTGTAGGGGAAGAAAGGGAAATAACAACATGGTACACAAGCAATATAGATTAGATCATCCGAAAGTAAATTTTAGTAGTAATAATAGTAGTAGTAAAGGATCGCAACACTTCGTATGCCATCCAGACCATGATGATACATGATTTGGAAAGCATGCACTATGAATAGTTCCATTCCTTCCATTGCAATGTGCTCTTAATGATGAAAACAAAAATAAGCTTTTAATTTGTAAGAATTGATCATCTACATTCTGAGAACATAATTTCATCCAGGTAGCGTTTAGCATTCATGCAAATATCAATAGAGTCACCCTTCGTAATTTCCCACCTTCAGGACATCCAATGCAGCCCTATATGGCATTGTAATTAGTTTGGCCTCTGATATTCATTCATAGGCCACAAAGATTTCAAGCAAATATGTTCAATGATAAAACTGCAACTCCTCTCTTTTACTCTGCTTCTCCCTTCCTCCTCTTCTTACATAGTTGCTTCAGCTTGGTGTAAATCATTTGAACAACATAGAGAATTCTCGTGGCACTAAGAATCACCTGTCCTTTTCATTTAAAAACATAATATACTAACCTTAAGGCTATGATAACCAGGTAATTCAGCTGTCCCTCAACAAGCAACAGATGACCTAGAGGATTAGAAAATGGGTTGGAAAAACACCTCGTTGCCAAGTGCATCATTATTCAAATTATGCCAATTAATGACTGACAACTGCTATGGTTACATTCTGAAGGGTTATAACTTGCAAAAATTCTTCTTCGCCCTGTTAAGTGGTCTCTTAAGAGCAGGTCAATAGGATAACAGCAATTAGTGGTCCCGCTTTTAGTGGTCCCGCTTATTATGATTCATCTTGCTTTGCTAGAAGAGGAATCATCAGTTATAGTAAACTGTAGAGAATTCAGTAGCCTTTTACTCTATTTTAAGGTCCCTTAGGAAGGAAAGAACTAAGGTGAATCATAGGGGATTAAAGCTAATTAGGTACTTCTGTACTAGTAATGATGCATCATGCATGTTTCCCCAGTTCAAAACTTCCCACATTAGTTCAAAAATTCATCAAGGGACAATCAGATATGATTCTTTCTTTTGCAAAATGTGAACATCAATTGATCTTTCCAAAACTTTGCATATTTTCCCTCTTCATTAATTCAAAATAAGAGAGAATTTTATGACCATCTGAAAATATAAGATGGACAAATATGAATTAGCAGAAAAGAAAATCCAAAACAAAGTTGAAACAATATTTGACATTTAAGAAACAAAAACAAAAGATCATCCACATAATTGCATAATCAAATTTCATAATCATAGAAGGTAAAGGTCAGCAACTCACTTCACCAGCACTCTCCAGCTCCTCGTCTGAACAACCAGCCCAAAGTGGATGAGCCCTGAAAGCCGCTTCCATTTTGGCAAGGAAGTCCTGTACCAGGGCACTATCCCTTTCTGGATCAGGAGCATTGTTTGAAAATGAGACAATGAAGCTGCCACAAAGAGCACACCGCATTCAAACTTTGCAAGCACATAATTGCCTTTTAAATTAACAAGTAAAAACGTCTTTATCTCACCAGCTAAAATTAACAACAGTAAACCTCTTTCAATTATCACTACCTGCTCATAAACTGGTCATTCTTCATATACTAGTAAGTAAGCTACAGTAAAATTAAACTCTAATAAATATTTAGCTCGGAAAATGTAAATACCCGCCATTGCAATTGAATTATCCCTATACTTGAACAATCAACTTCAAATCACAGTCCTTGTTTCTTCTTTTCAGCTCCAATTTCTACATTTACTACATTTTTTAAGTACTTCTATTGCTTCCGGAAAACAGAAAAAACTACATTTCCTAGCAAAATTCGAGGAAAAAGTGACCGTTATAATACTCCAATTCAAAACCATCTCCAATTTCCATATCATTATAATCAAACAAATAAATTAATAGAGGCAACATTTACATATAAAAATATGTGAACGTATAGATTGGGATCGGAAGAGAGAGACCTCTTGATGGATTTGACGAAATCGGCAGCGGACGGTTGACGCATGCGCTCTAGAAAGTCGTGCAGTCCCAGGAAGACGTCGGCGCTCTCCATTCTTCCACCACCGTATGATTCTCTTTTCTTCCAAATCACACAGTTTCAGACTGACTGTTGATTACAGTGTTTAGGAGAAGATGGATAAATGGACGCAGGAAATAGCGAAGAAGAAGTCCACAGAGAGAGAAAGAGGCTCGGACCGCTGTAACTTTGTGAGTATCAAAAGAAACGAATTATATTGCAGACAAATGAAATATGACGTCATAAAAATGAACGCGAGGAAAATGAAGCGAGACTTTAATTGCTTCTTTGATGGGCTTCAAAGGCCTGCGGGCCATTAATTGGCTTTCTGGATCAGGCAATAATGTCCCCGATCAGACAAACTTGTCTAAATTTGGATCAACTGCCAGTACTAACTTTTTGAGATTTTAACTTTAATTAAGACAGGGAAGCTTAAACATGATGCCCGCCTAGCTTACTTGTGCTCGGTAGAGATTCTCTTTGGTGAGTCGTAAAGGTAATAAAGTCATAATGGTGTACCCTGGTAATCTCAGGATCACGATCGAATTGTGAAATCAATATCTTGCAGAGGGTTTTTAACATAATCATTTCCTGGCCATTATTTTCCTATATCCGGTGTATAACATCATCCATGCATCAAGCTGATAAAAAACAATCAAATAGTAAATTAAACAATAACAAATAAGACAAACGAGCTTGGATTGTTTTGGCCAAATTCAAGATAAATAAATAAAAAGAAAGAAAACTCAGCACAGCAGATGGACAAAAAATTACAAAACTTTGCAATAACTATTGCCTGATTCAAAGGAGCTTACATCAGTTTAACATCTGCTGACACAGCCACACAGCAAACCTGTGTGGAGTATCAATCTAATAAATTACATTCAACTCTGATTTTCCCTTACATATATATATATATGAGATAGAAAAAAACCTTCTCGCCCCCTATCTAAAAGTATAATGATGTGCATTCGGGTATTTTCAATTGTATTCTTGGCACTCTTTCTTCTTAAAGCCATCTCTATGCAACAACTAGTATCTTGAATGAAAAGCATCCGTGTAAACATTGCATAAGTTCTTGCGTTAAATCCTTGCAAAGCTTCTTGCAACAATTTGAACAAGGAAAATATACGGAAAATTGTGAAGAACATGTAATGCTTTCTCCATCTTCACTCTTAATTGCTTCTCAACATTTTGCAGACCACCATAGACATGGTTGTGGATGTCTGTTTGCCCAAGTAACAACATCCCATGTAATCTAAAAGAGAGCACTCCATACAGCTCCATCCCCTTCACCACATCTTTCATGAACAAATTTGATCTTCTCTACAGATTTGCAGATTCCGCTGCAGCTCCAGTCAAAAGATGCAATGCATACATTGCCTGCCTGTGCCTTCCACTCACAATCTGCAGTAGCAGCGACAAGTGCAATTTAAATGTAGGAACAGAAAGTTAGAGAGAGTAGAGGAGTAATGAGGAAGAACATAACAATAACAGTATATTAAATGGAGAAAGTAACTGCTAAGATATTCTTAGAATATATTCAAACACATCCCTCAAAAGAGTACCTGGTGGAGTTCCACAGCACATGTTGCGGTCATCAATGTGTTCTACCTCAAGACCAATAAACCATGATCCAAGTGACACATCTTCATTAGCATACTTGTGCAATAGCGGCCTGCATTAAGGTAAAGAAATTTAACCTTCTCTTTTGTAAGAAGAAATTTTTTTAAGTGCAAATATAAAAAAATGTTAAATTATAGCATCTAGTACTCCGTCATGTTTTTGTACTAGATCAACTGATAAACCAATTTGTTTCTGTCATATTCACCAAAGAAAATCTTTAAAAGTACTTTTGGCCATGAACCCATAACAAAAATAAAAATCCATTCAAAAATTGACGTTCAAAAGTATTCGACGTCAGAACAAGGAACAAAAATAAATTATGCTCAGTAAAAATCCCCAAATTACAGAATCAGTCAAAATGGATCCAGGGCAGATATATGTATCCACATAGGTAGCAAATAAGGCTTATGTGCTTCCAAAGAAAATAATGAAAGAAGCTATGCTTACTGGTTGATGGAGATATATGTGGCAAGATCCTTTGAGATTGCGTATATCTGTCCAGTTGCATGTCGGAAATATTTGTTCCCTTCCTCTCCAAATTTCCAATACTCTGGTTCATGATACTTGACATTCCTAAAGAATAGAAAAGAATTCAATAGAAATCACTGGCTTGAAAAGACAAAGCAAATGAAAGTTAATGTTGTTTGTTATCAATGTGAGAGGTTCAGAATGATTACTTCTGAGAAAGAACCGGTCCAGACTTCATACATCCAATGTACACCCTGGGTTTTGAACGATGCCGGGCAAGAGTAGCAGCTAACATACCTAGAGAAGCAGGACGTGTAGAGGTTCATCTTTGGTAATTGAAAATATTTTCAACAACATAACGTCCGAAAGTTGCTAAAGGACAATTGCCTACCCAGATTAACATGGACATCATCATCCACCTTGACATAGTATTCAGCATCCCACTTAGCAACTGCAGTAGAAAAGAAAATTTTTGTCTTTGCAGACAATTCATGATATCCTTCAACATGCTCCTACAAAATGATAAAATAATGTTAACCAAATATCAGGCTAAAATCCTATAATCACCCATATATATAAATCTTGTGCATGAATTCTTACCAGCCTAAGGAAATCCTTATGCTGAGAATCTTCTGAATCAATAGCTCTATCTAAAATGCTGTTTGATGTTGCACTGAAACAATGAATACATATATCATTAAAGTTAGTTCCAAGCTCAATAGAAAAGAGAAATTTTATGCTAGAGCAGCTTTATATGAGGTAATAAGAGGGGAAAAAATGACCCTTTTTCTAATGTAAATCAAGTATTTTCCAGCTGAAGAGGATTAAGGTGAGGGATGGAAGTTTCAAAGTGAAAAAGGCAATCTGTAACATTCATCAAGAGGAGGGACAAATGTCTTGTACAAGCCAAGCTTATGACATTAGCCAATTTTCTAGACTATCCATCTCTTCAGAAATAAAGATTTATAGCAGGTAAAATATGTAGATTGTAAATAAGTGATATTCCATAAAAATATTTTTTGCTTACAATAAACAATTGAAAGCATCCACATTTGAACATTTATCTAATAGTAATTAATTGCATGCCACAGCTATCATTTGGGGGATCTATGCAACTAAAAGGGTCAGAGCAAGAATCTTTCTCTTTCTTCCCTTTCTGTATTCAAATTATTGAAATGAAAAGGCAAAGTGATGTTTCAGTGACCAAGATCACAAGATCAAGCAAATCATCCTGCATATATATTTGGACATTCTGCAAAAGAATGATGATGTTTATACCACAAAAGTTGAGGCTATTGACCTATGTCCAACAAGCAAACTAGTTGATTTACTCACAATTAAAAATCTGTCATATATTCTTCAGCAAAATGTTAAATTTGGTCCATGACATATAAGGAAGTGTATGAACTTATTTAGTTAGTTTCAGTGGTTGAATGAGAAGCTCCAGGCCAGCCAACAACACATATGCATCTATTTGCACTGGAAACAAAAGCTAAAAGATGAACAGCCAACAGAAACTAAAAGGAATCAATTACACTATATTTCACGAGACAAACATCCAATATAAGCAAATAAAGTCATGTAATACATTGCGCATAGTGTTTTTCAATGGAGGAGTCAACATTTTCTGAATAAGCCTCCCAAAAGCAAAAATATTATTTTCCTATAAATTGGCAGGAGATTCCAGATGGATACAGAATGAATAGACTTAACCTTCGTCAGTGCAGTATTAAGAACAGAATATGCTATAAATAAAGCAGGTTGAAGAGGGAGTTATGTTCGAAGGTGCTTCAAAAGCAGGTAGAATTCAATTGTGAAACCTATAGTATCCATGAAGAAAGAAATAATCTAATGCAAAATTGCAAGTGCTTAAATAGCTGCAGAGCCGATTACCTTTTGCTAATGAGTAAAGACACATGAGCCAATTCAAATTAATGATATATACTTGACCTAGAGGCTCCAAGAAAAGCAATAAACTCCTTTGAGGGTATTTCAATTTTCAAAAGCAGTTTTATTACTCCTATAGCATAATAAAACTTTTCCTGCCAACACAACTTAATGCTTAAAGAGAACAAAAGTATAAAAGCAATTCACCTATGGCCAATCATGAAGCGAATAACAATCCCCTTCTCACGCTCCAATTGGAGAAGCTTATCTCCTAATCAAAACACAGCCCAAAAAAAAATCATACTTTTACTAAAATGATCAACATAAAACAAAGACAAATATGAGACAAGCAAAATAAAACCTTGAGGCATCCAAGTCTCTCTAACAGAATCACGCCTCTTTCTACTACTAAAAGCTGTATTAATCCCAATAACCATGAACACTTTTTGCCTGGGTGGGCTCTCACGAGGCAACGTAGACAAGGAAGCGGAGCGGTCTACGCTCATCTCCTGTGAACTTCTAGATGCAGCTAATTGCATTTCAAGCATTGCAATTGACTTATCTAGCGATCTGGTACGCCTCCAAGAAATCCACAAAAGTGAACAAAAATGTTAACCAACACACACATAATAAAAATCAAAAACCAAAATTACAGAGAGAGCCAATTTTGAACTCACTGAATTGCTTCATGCGTTTTCAAAACTTCGTCCATTACATCTTCATCATGCGAAACCTTCTACAAAAAAGAAAGAAGCAAGTTCAGACCCAAAATAAAGAAATTAAAAAGGAAAATAAAATTCGATGATCAAAACAAACCTTTTGAGCTGTTGAATCTTCAGATACGACTTGTAGCTCTTGGTCATGTCGACGCTGAGCTATCAGCTGACCGTTTGATTCGGGTGGATCCCACGCTCTACAAGCACGATCAAGTTCAAAATCAAATAAACTAGATTCAAATTGCCGTTAATCTATAGAAATGCAAAAACTTGAAAATTAACGGAGATTCAAAAAAATTGAATTTGGGACCTGTTGGAGAAGAGAATTCCAAGGACGAAGCAAAAGACGCAGAGGATTGGAATCCATTTGACAGAGACTTTGGCAGGACCTCGGGGTTTCATTGTTGCAAATACAAAGAGAAAGCGAGAGCAAAAGACAGAGAAAGGAATGGGTCTTGAGGCAGCTGGAAATAGAAAATGAAATCCATGCGCTTAGTTTATATACAGGATGGACGAGAGAGAAAGCATTTGATTTTTCTATGCAAATGAGATTAAAATTTTGATCAATATTACGCGCCCTGGTGTTTTCGGGGCAGTCAAAGAGGTTAGGCGTACCAAGGTGCGACTTTCTGTCGTTTTGGTCACGGCGTGGATCTCACGTCGAAGCCTCTCCTTTCGAACTCGGAGTCAGTCGCGCCACGAGTCAAGGTCGCCCTCGGATTCACCTGACCCGTTTTGTCAATGTACTTCCCCAATTTCATAAAAATATAAGTTCGCTTTTTAGTTATGTTTATCGTCCTATATTCCTTCCCAGTGGATGAAAATAATATAAGGAGATACACAAGTAAAGATAATTTTCTTCTTGGATCATCAAGTTATTAGTTAGTTTGAAAAATTAGAATTCAAACCTATTAATATATAAGTTTTGTTCGGCACACTATTTAAATCTTAGGGGCTTAAATATAATTTTCTATAAAGAAATTAAATTTTTCTTTGGGACAAAGCCCCTAGCCCTTTAAAAAGTTTGGTCTCTCAATGTAGTGTTCAAGTTTAAGAGGGTAGATTATAAAATTTTATTAAGATAGTTAACGGTTATTAAAATAATTAATTTTGTTAAATAAGGAAGAGACTATCCCCTGCTCACAGGATTAGTCTAATGGGCTTGCGTAAAAAACTTTCCTAAGCTAGCAAACAATTATCATTCAAACTGCTTTTATTGCTTACCTGGATAGAGCCATTTTTTATATAGAATGGCGAAATAATGGAAACTAGTTTGTAATCTACATGTAACGAAACCAACTAAAGGAAAATACACAATGAATGAAAGCTTTCTTCCAAAGACATAACTTATAAGAAGACTAGTCGGGCTGTAACAGACCTCTCGCCATAAAGTAATAATAAAAGTTTTAGAGAAAATCCAAAAAAATTATAAACTTTATTATTTTTGCTTAAAAAATTGAGTAAAATAATAAGAATGGTTTTTTAAAGAAAATATTGAAATAAAAAAAGATTTTTACCATTAATTTAAATTTAAACTTATTTTAAAGCAATTGGTCCAGCTATACTAAAAAAAAAAAAAAAAAAAACGAAAAAAGATTTTTACCAATTAATTTAAATTTAATACTTATTTTAAAGCAATTGGTCCAGCTATAACAAAAAAAAAAAAAAAAAAAACCTTTCACCATTTGATTTTTCTATTTATTTTTAGAGTTTGTTTTTTCATCAAATATTTTAATTCGGGAGTTTTCATTGTCCTCATTTTTACATGAAGTTAGAAAATTAATTAACTCAAATTTTTAATTTGAGGATATTAATTTAATATGTTACTACGTATATTTCTCCTTTAATTATAAATATACACGTTTATATTCTTCACATCAAATTAAATAAATTGTTTTATACCCAAAAATAAATAAATAAATCACTCCACTTTTATTATTATGCTAAAATAAAACATATTCGCCGTTCTCACAATCACCGTCAAATTTGACGTTTCCACTTTCTCGCAAATAGCAACGACAAGATAGACTTTATTTATACAAGATGACTCGACACGCGGGATCCACAATCAATGGGACAATTGGCACGGACCATAACCATATACCAAAATAAATTAGACAAGAAAAAATAAAATTGCACAATACACATGGCACCATCAATGTTAGGGATTTGGTGGATTCGGTTCGGATCCGAAATTTTTTTTCTTGGTGTTGATATATGCAAAAGAAAAAAATCAATAATAAAATTAAATTTGATGGAATATATAATTAAAATTAAATTTTGATGGAATATATATATATATATATATATATATATATATATATATTTATATAATTACTAAGCAAAGTATTATAAAGCAAGTATTTTTTCTTAAAAATTTGACATGTGACATATCTATTTGGCATTTTAATTTGATATATAATATATTTCTCCAATTAGACTTCTCCCATTGCACCATTGAGAGTTTATAATAAAAACAGAAGGAAAATCACCTAAATAATTTTTTTTAATTACTAAGGAGGGCATTATAACCCAGAAAAATCACCTGAGTAATTAATTTCAATTATATTGATAATAACTATATTTAATGACGAACTCCTCAGTTGTATTGTTTATGAAGTAAAACAACACCACTGTATTGATTTTGTTTGAAGATAATTTTGAAAAAAAAATGAAAATTTTGGATAAAAATTGGTCATTTTTCAAGTAGGATGGTAAGAGTCTAAAGTGACATATGTTTAATATAATAAAGGACCAAACCGTACTATTTAAGAAATAAATTGTTCATCTTGTATTTTGGAGTGTCAGAAATCAAACACACACATAAAAACAACGGCTCTAAAGGGAAGAAACGATCACCAACCTGTAAATATAAGGAAATTAAATTTAATATTCATTTCAAACGATCACGAATTTGTAAATTATTAAAAAAAAATAAAGAAAATGGATGAGAACGAATGAAAAGCATTCACCTCCAACGGATCGCGGTAACTTAAACAACAAAATCTAAAAGAATGCTAAAGGGGCAAGAGAGAAATAATTTTTCACATATATCAAAAAGTTATGATTGGCGATTAAATTTATTTTTATATTGATATCATATTGTACAAAAAAATATCCCAAAAGGTTACGATTTAGAATTTTTTTGCAGAAAACAGGTTTTTTTAATAAATTGTAAAAGAAGAAAGAAGAGTAATTCTTACTGTTATATTGAACTAATTTTTTTTTATTAAAGTAAAAATAGACTTATCCGATGAACTACTTAACCCAGTAAACTGCGTGGCCAATCCTATTTTAAAAGCACTAGGAAACTAAACTCTCATTAGCTGAATGATGCTTCATTCTTTTTTTTTTTTTTTTTTTAAATTATCGGTATAAGAATTTTATTAATAAAGACCGCCTAATCCGGTTCGAGGCTTAATTACAGTTAAAACTCTTCGCGCTTTCCTACATGTGAGTTTAGTGAAAATCGAATCCAAAAACGCTTCTCACATATCTATTATGCATTATCAACCGAACCACAACCTATAAATAATTGCATGATGCTTTTTAAATTAACAACATAATGGATTTTGATGTATAACAAACCTCTATTGTTATTATTATTATTATTATTATTATTACTGCATAAACAATTCACCGAATAATTATTCAAATTAATATAACATAAAATTCAGGAATTTTGTAAAATTTAACAATAATTTTATTTTTGTTATTTTTTAATATGAGAACAGAGTCTATTCCGATAGCACATATATTAGAATAACATAAAATTCAGGAATTTTGTAAAATTTAACAATAATTTTATTTTTGTTATTTTTTAATATGAGAACAGAGTCTATTCCGATAGCACATATATTAGAATTTTACAAATTTTACAAATTGTGATTTATTTTTCTCAATTGCATAAACATATTTAATTAAAAAAATTAGATTTCCCCAATTAAATCCCATCAATCAGAATTTTCCGTTTGTATTTGAGAAATTAAATTAACGTGGAACAAAAGAGAAGTAGAAACGCTAAAATAAAATAAACGCAACCAAAAAAAAATCTACTAGTTACTATTGAATAAGTCGGTTTGAGAAAATAAGGAAAAAATATAGAAAAAATCAAGCGGCCGAGTTTGCCCTAGAAAACCTATTCTCTCTCTACCTCGTCGCTCAATATAAAAGCGTTGCTCTCCCCTTAATGTTTCACAATCTCTCTCACCTCACGCATAGTTGAGACCAATCCTTCTCCAGCCTCTTCTTCTCTTTACGTTCCAAGGTAACTTTCTTTCGATTCTTTGTCGATCTCTATTTCTATCTTAATTGATTCTCTGTTATTCCTTTGTAGATTATTTGTTTATTTTCTCTCTCTTCCGGTTTTTATTGTTTTTATCCTTTCATTTCGGTGGATTTGGTTGATCGGAGATTGAGATGTGCGTTTTTGTTGTGAAAACGTTTTAGATCTATGAATCGTTTTTTTTTTTTTTTTTTTTTTTCTGTTGTTATATTATTTTGTTTTTGATCCTTTTTTCTGTTGTTATATTATTTTGTTTTTGATCTAATCTTAAAGTATAGATTCATCGACTAATTTGCCGCGTTTGGTGTTGTTTCTGATTTTGATTGATGATTCGAGAACTTGGGTTTAATTAAACCTTAAGTTATTATACGCCGCGGTGTAGATTTGGTTGGCCATTAAGCTATTATTGACTAGATATGTGATTTTGATTTTATTTATTAGTCACATAGAAATAAATCTTTAATATTCTTTTTAGTTTTATTTTTCGATCTTTATGACTTGTATTGCCTTCTTTTCTGTTTTAAAATCAGAGCCCTGATCTGAAATCTTGTGGTTTTGTATAGTGAATTTTTTAAAAAAGATTTTATGAGAGCGTATTTGTATATAATCAATGCTTCAAAATTGCTCCAATTTAAGATACACTCTTGGGCTTCCTGGGTAAAGTCTTTAAAAAGAGGGGCAATATTTGGTAATGCGTCAAAAATTACGTTTATGTTCTAAAATTATTGTTCTTATAATTGCACCCTCCTTTTCTAGATAAATCTTTTTATCCAATACATATCTGTATTTCTTTTGACAACATTGGGAGCTAATTTATCTTAGTTGCTATTACTCTTTCATTCAGTTGTCTCCCGATGTACTCTGTCTGCAACATATTTATGCACATGTTAAACCTTCTTTTATGCTCTTGTTGATGGTATTAATTTGTATGTTTTGCTGTTGAGTTGGTAATGAAATTTAATAAAATTGGGAAGACAGATGCATTAGTTGATGTTCATAATGTTTGCAGAATTTCAGTTCATTTATTTGTTGATTTTTTTTGGAGTCTATTGTTTTTTGTGGTATTTGGTCTACTTTTGCACCATATCATCCTAATATCTCATGTGTTGTACTTTTCCTTTTGAAATTGACACGACAATTTGGGTAAAGACAATCTATCATGGTTGGATTTGTTTCTTATTCTTGCTTTGTGGGAGGGGTATTTATTTTACTGTCTTTCCTAAGACTTGGTTTCTGCTTTCAGGAAGTTGGCAGTTCTTTCTGCATCATCTGCACATCATCAAAAGTGGAGCTCGTCAAGTTTGAAGCATTTTTTATGTCTGAACGGGCCTCTCTGTTTTTGTCATCAATTGGATTACTTGGAGAGTACTGTCCTACGTCTAGAAAAAAGAGCAGACGTTCCTCAGCTAAAGTTGGCTGCATGCATCTTGAGTTGTTCGAGGGCCATAGCACAGACAATATAGGTTGCCAGTTTATGCAGCCATCTCTAACTGTGAGGAACCTGTCTATTGAAGGAGGATTTCCTGTTACCAGAGAACATACTGCAGCTGATATCTGTACCTTTTGATTAACTTGATATTGGTCTACAAGTAATATGGCGTTGCAAAATATTGGTGCTTCCAACAGTGACGATGCCTTCTACAGGTACAAGATGCCAAAAATGATAACAAAGATTGAAGGCAGGGGAAATGGCATCAAAACTAACGTGGTTAACATGGTTGATATTGCTAAGGCCTTGGCTAGACCTCCTTCCTACACCACTAAGTACTTTGGAAATGAGCTTGGTGCTCAATCGAAATTTGATGAGAAGACTGGAATTTCTCTTGTTAATGGAGCTCATGACACTCCAAAGCTTGCTGGTCTACTTGAGAACTTCATAAAGAAATATGTTCAATGCTATGGCTGTGGGAACCCTGAAACTGAGATAGTTATCACTAAGACCCAGATGATCACCCTAAAATGTGCTGCATGTGGGTTTATTTCTGATGTTGATATGAGAGATAAGCTTACAACATTTATCCTCAAGAACCCTCCTGAACTGAAAAAAGGATCCAAAGACAAGAAGGCAATGAGGAGGGCTGAGAAGGAAAGACTCAAGGAGGGTGAGACTGCTGATGAGGAGCTGAAGAAGCATAAAAAGGAGGCAGTAAAGAAGAAAGGCTCCTCTACTGGTTCCAAGGAAGGTTCAAAAGTTACATCATCTAAGAAGAGAGGCAATGGCTCAGATGAGGATCACTCCCCCACTTTAAGTGCGGCTGATGAAAATGATCAAGTGAATGCTGATGATGAGGATGACGACGATGATGTGCAGTGGCAAACAGATACTTCTTTGGAGGCAGCCAAACAGCGCATACAGGAGCAGCTGAGTGCTGTTACTGCTGATATGGTAATGCTATCTACTGAAGAAGAGAAGGCCAAGTCAGCAAAAAGGTCTCCAGACCGTGAGATTAAGGTTCGTGAGAATGGCTCTAAGGTCATTGATCCCCAACAATTGCTTGTTAATGAAGTCAAGGAATTTCTGAAGAAGGGTTCTCCTCCAAGCCAGCTGAAATCCTTCTTGGGTTCACTTGCTGGAGCATCTCAAGAAGTCATGAATGCTCTGTTTTATGCCCTCTTTGAGGGTGTAGAGAAGGGTTTTACTAAAGAGGCAACTAAAAAGAAAAACTACCTGGCAGCAGCTGTTATTGAGGAGGAAGGATCACAGTTGCTTCTGCTGAATGCCATCGAGTCTTTCTTTTGTAAGGCAAGCCCTGACGTAGTAAAAGAAGTAGCGTTGATTTTGAAAGTGTTATATGACAATGATGTTCTGGAAGAAGAGTTTATAATGGAGTGGTACCAGAAGGGTGTGAATGGTGGCAACAAAAACTCGCCAGTTTGGAAGAGTGCGAAGCCTTTTGTTGAGTGGCTTGAGAATGCTGAATCTGAAACTGAAGAGGAGTAATGCCTGATGGCGCGCTTCTTCTCTATTTGGGTGCAGAACTATCTTTCTTTCTTTGGAATAAAAGAGTTTGATTTTTTTTTGAGTCTAGTCTTTCGAGTCATGTAATACGGGCGTACAATTCCTTGCATCTGTGTCGCTCGATGATTTTATGCTTTTGGCTGGCTTCTTCGTCTTTTCTGGTTGTCTGATATTGTCACAGTGTATTATCTGGATTTTGGACTTTTATGATCATTACTAGTTTGTGTTTGGTCTATGCTGTTTAATTTTTTAAAAGTTTTTTCCTTTATAAGTACATCTTACGTTTTAAAATTATAATAATTCTAAATGTTCCACACAATTATTGTATAAGAATATTATTGGAAAGTAAAAAGAAAAATATATTTTGTTGTATAAGGATATTGTGGGGAAATAAAAAAGAAAAGTATTTCAAATAAATACAAACAGAACATTTATTTTGGCATGGAAATAGTATTTTTAAATTTGTTTGGTTTTTGGTTTAAAAATTCAAATCAATGATCATGTCACATTCCAAATGAGATATAATTATACAAGTAAAAGATATTCTTTTTATTATTTGTATACTTCTGTCTTTCATGATTTTACATTTACAAACTCAAATTTAAATCCATGAAAATTTCAAATCACCACCTTATCCAAATAGATAATTATTTCGTCTGTCTATTGCTCCATTCTTTTATACTACTCCGTTCCACAAATGGGCCTTTTATCTCAAATAATTACAAGCGACTTTCTTTTTTAAAACCATTATTAGTTTCTTAATTTTTTTTATACTATTCCTTCAATTAGGAGGCAGATTCAAAGTTGAAATGATATTACTACTTTCTTTAAAAAAAAATATTATAATAAGAATATAATTTTTTAAGAATTTTAATAAATATTTAATTTGATTGATTATAATTATTTGAGCAGATTTCAAGTTGAAAACTGATATTAGTACTTTCTTTAAAAAAAAAATATTATAAATAAGAATATAATTTTTATAAGAAATTTTAATTTAAATATTTAATTTGATTGATTATGAATTATTTTCTATATAATAACTTAATTTTATAAAGAAATAGATGGTAATTTGTTATTGTTTATTTCAGAAAGTTTTTATATTTTATAGTAATAATAAATTGTTTTGTGTATTATATTATAATTATTTTCTATAAATAACTTATTTTATAAAGAATAGATGTAATTTGTTATTGTTTATTTCAGAAAGTTTTTATATTTTATAGTAATATAAATTGTTTGTGTATTATAATTTATAATAAAAAATTAATATATAAATTAAATTATATTTACTTGCAATTGCAATGAGTAAAAATTAATAAATACAAACAACAATTTCTATTGATTCTTTTTTTAAAGTTATTATAAGAAATATTGTGAGTAAGTTAGTTCATTTTTTTAAAAACTTTTCAATTTCTCTTAAGATATTTTTACATTGAATTTTTAATGGATTCAATTAGAAAGTCATAAATAATAATCCTTAATTGGAGAATATTAAGATGCATTGTATTAAACTATTTTGATTTGCAACAAATTGATTGAATAATTACATATTAAGAATATTTATAAGAAGTAAAAAAAATGAAGGATAAATTATATTTTTTTCCTCTATTATTTTTCACTTTTGTGTTTGGATTGAGAAAAAATGAAATAAAGAGAAAAAAGTTTTATTATTAGGAAGTTACAATTTTACCCTTGGCTATATAAGGTAATGGCAAAATTTACTTGATAAATAAAAATAACACATTTAATTAAATTAAACACCATCTGTCCACCCTACCAATTTTCACGGCGACCACACGGAGTAGTATTTTGTTTTGTTTTTAGGATAACCAAATTCAAAAGTTTTGGTTGTGCATATCCTACCTAAAATATCTCATCTGTGTGCCAGAGGGACATAAACTCGAATGGGACACATCAGAGCCCTCCAATCTGTTGACTCCACTGGTCAGCTGTTGATTATCACTGCCCGACAGTTCAAATACCACATGTGCCATTTGTCCTTGTTATGGACCTTAAAACCACTAGTACTATTTTTCTTGTTCCATACTCTATTTTGTTCTCGTAAGATTTTTTACATTTAATACAGTCTTTTGTGGATTTAGTAAATTTTTTACATTCTGTAATTAATTCTCTCTAACTTTTACTTTCATTAATTGAAGTTAAACATGTAACTTTAGGACCACTTCATCTTTCTTTTTCATTTTTTATTTACTTTATAGAACAAAAATTGCCAGAAGTATCATGGAATTTATGGCATTTTTTAGTATAAATAGCCATTTTTAAGGAAAATTTAATACTAGCATTTTTAGTATAAATAGGCATTTTGAATGCAATATTTACGTTAATCACTTTTAATTTTATTGCATTACATACATCAGGGCTCATAAAATGAAATGCACCACGCAAAGTAGCTCAAACGTCACGGATTAATTTATAAATTAGATTATTTATTTGTGAATGTACAAAATTATGATTAATTGTTTAAAACTGAAAATAAAATTAATTTTTTATAGAATGTGAAATGCACGCGAGGTGAAACGAGAGTGAAGGATGTCCAGTTCTTGACATTCCTAAAGTTAGTTAGCGCTAGTGTCGTGGCTAAAACCGTAAATATTCTAACCAATCAAAAGGGGTCCACCAACTCCTCTGCTTTTGCTTCCGTGCCCGTTCTCCGACCCCTAGACGGCACTCTCTCTCTCTCCTATCTCACCTCAGACACTATCGCACACACTAGCACACACCCACTCACACACAGGAGAGAAATAGAGAGTGGGAGAGCTCATACGTAAAAATATCTTCTCCATTCACTGCCACTAATCTCTATTACTCTCTTTCCCTGTCGCCTTCACAACCCTAACTGACCAATGCCGCTGCTGCAGTCATCCGCCGACCTCCGCCTCGTCGACCCGCGGATTTGGCGGGCTTGCGCCGGCTCATCGGTCCAAATCCCCATAGTCAATTCTAGGGTTTACTATTTTCCTCAAGGACACCTCGAGCAATCTTCCTCTTCTGCTTCTCCTTCTTTCCTCTCCGCTCTCGCTCGCTCTAAACCATTAATCGCTTGTCAAGTCTCTGGCGTTCAATTTCTGGCTGATCCTGTCACCGATGAGGTCTATACGAAACTATTTCTTTTTCCGATTGATCCTTCGTTTAACCATTCTCTCCCTCTTGTGGAACCTGCTGGACACCAAGGTGGAGATGATAATGAGGACAAGATTGTGGCGTTTGCTAAGATTTTGACGCCATCTGATGCCAATAATGGTGGCGGTTTCTCTGTTCCGAGGTTTTGTGCGGACTCTATCTTCCCGCCTTTGAACTACCAAGCGGAGCCGCCTGTCCAAACCCTTACAGTCACCGATATTCATGGCATTACTTGGGATTTTAGGCACATTTATCGAGGGACGCCACGTAGGCACTTGTTGACCACCGGCTGGAGCAAATTCGTGAACCACAAGAAGTTGATCGCTGGTGATTCGGTGGTTTTCATGAGGAATTTGGCGGGAGAGATGTTTATTGGAGTGCGCAGGGCTGTAAGATTCAATAATGGTGGAGATTGTGCTAGGTGGCGGGAGCAGATTGGTCGTGGAACTGGAGATGTGAAAATGAAGGTGAAGGAGGAGGGATTCTCAAGGAGCGGGAGAGGTAGAGTGTCACCGGAGGCTGTCATGGAGGCAGTGGAGAGAGCAGCGCAAGGTTTGCCATTCGAGGTGGTGTATTATCCGAGGGCTGGATGGTATTCGGATTTCGTGGTGAGGGCTGAGGTGGTGGAGGGGGCGCTCAATGTGTTTTGGACAGCTGGGATGCGAGTGAAGATGGCAATGGAGACGGAGGACTCGTCCAGGATGACTTGGTTTCAGGGAACAATTGCATCTGCGGCTGCAGCAGATTGTGGGCCATGGCGAGGCTCTCCTTGGCGCATGCTTCAGGTATGTTATTTGGATACATTTTTTGGTTCTCTGTTTTGTTATGTAGTGTCATTTGGTAGTTTTTTGTAACAGGAAACCGAGTTCTTGAATGTTATTTTGGGTTACGTGAAGCAGTTAGAGTTAAGGAAATTCATGAATGACTTTCCAAAAAGCTGATTGTTTATGCTTTGGTTATCGGGACTTGGGTTGATGGATTGTCATGTCATGTAATCTCACGAGTGTAGCCATAAGAAGTTCCATAGTTTATTGAAAAGGAAGGATTTAATTCGGCATCAATTTCAGTATCTATGTGGAGTCTACTGTTTGCTAATGATTTTCCTTGCTAAGCTTAGAACAGTGAGAAATATTTTGTAACAGCTAATTTATGTTATTGAAAATGTACTGCAGAGATAGTTGTATTTGGTAGAAACTTTCAATTAACTTCTGCAATGGTTAGATGACTTGGACATGCTGAAATAGTTTTGCTCGTTTAAATTTTAAATAGATAAAAAATTATGAAAAATGCATATTGCTAACTTGGCATGTTGTGATGAAGATGGTTGGATAAATAACATTGCAGATGACAGAACTTTGAGCCTGTTTCTATTTCATTACACAACATTAATTCCTTTAAGATGAATTACTAAACTTTTAACTTTTTTTTTCAATATGATCACATTTTAGATTTTCTGGCAAATTGCTTACTTAAGTTACATGAACCTGCTAGTTCACCCATTTAAACTTGACTTATCAAATACGCAGCCCCTAAGAGGTGTATTTTCTTTTATTATGTGTGGGTTTGCTTGTACACTAACTCAAATATATGAATAGATGACTGTCTATGTTATTTTCGGTGATTTTTTTTTTTGAAAATCTCAAATGTGATCAAATTATAAGGGGAAAGAAACTTTAGTGGTTCATCTGCATTAAATTGTTTTGTGTGATCAAATTATTAACAACCCAAAATTTAGTGACCTCCTGTATTATTTACTCAAAGATTGTGTGCAGAAGATATTTGGAATGAGTATTTATTGTTTATCATAGAAGAAAATTGTCATAAATTAGATCAAGATAAATTGGTAATAGGGCAATGTGATTGGATTTCAATCATTTTTTTTCAATTGAGGCTGAAAGATGGTACTGTTTCCAACTATTAGAATTTTTTAACTTGCATAAGCTTTCGAAAGCATTATTTTTCCATTTTCCCGTGGCTTTTGTGTCTTGGATATGCCATATGGGTGATCATGTGTCTTCGGGACATGTAAGACTAGAGTAGAGTGTTATACCATCTTTATCCTTCATTGTCGTTCTTGAATCAGATAATCTATGTTGAAGCTAAAACAAAAATGAAACCTATGAAACTCAATAAGGTTGTATCCCATTTTTCTATGGTCTAGGAGCCACACTTATAAATTTAAGATACCTGCTATTATCTGAAATCAAGTTGCACCAGAAGTTTGGTCGTGCCACTCAGCTGTAGACCTCTAGTTATTGATCCATTCCCCTTCTTTGTGGGTTAATCTATATTCGCTAGGTTCTGGGGGCAAGGTTTGGAAGTCAGTAAAATTGTTTATGCAATATTGAGATTCAGTTAATATTGCTCTTAGAACAGGAATTATTCGATTGGCTTGGCCTTTTAACTCTTTCATCTTTTTTGTTTTTCTTTTTCCTCTAGGTTTATGCTTAGGCATTTCAGCTATTGCAATATGATGAACCTTACTGGCTGAGATGCTTTTTATAAGTCAATTTCCACATCACATGCTTTTGATTGCAAGTCATTTTATGAACCTGAACTAAACTGATCAAGTTTGCTTTGTCTTTTGAATTGTCTTACAGTACTAGGAAATGGATATTTTCTGGCTGTGATCATCTTATCAAGTGATAGTAGGTTAATTGACATTCAAATTCTTTTTCAGTGTTCACTTATGTGTGATTCATATGGTTATTAGTATTTCTTGTTGTTCTGCTTTAGGTTTTTTTTTAGAGTATCATATTTACTGAGCCTCTAGAAGTTAGAATATGATATGTGATATTGAAACTATTGTTTGGTTAAAAGAATTTTCTAACCTTTTTTTACCTTATCCACCACTGTATTTCTCTGACTCGTTCTTGTGCAGATTACTTGGGATGAACCTGAAGTTCTGCAGAATGCGAAGAAAGTGAGCCCTTGGCAAGTTGAATTTATCGCACCCACACCACCACTTCATGCTGCATTTCCGCCCGCAAAGAAATTCAGATATCCTGAGAATTCTGGGTTGCTGATTGATGGAGAGGGAGAACTCTTCTTTCCTATGTCAGGACTAACTAATTCAACAATGGAGAATATGAACCATTCATTGTTGAATTACAACACTTTTCCTGCTGGCATGCAGGGAGCCAGGCAAGATCCTTTTTCCGCATTTGGTTTATCCAACTTCTTAAGTGAGAATGCGTCCCAAATGAGCACTGATAATGCCTTTGGCAACAAGATGGTGCCAAAATTGCAAACTGTGTCTACTGAGTTGAACATCGGCAGTTCACATTCTGACAACTTATCACCAGATAGTCAGAGCAGCATGCATTCTTTTGGCACAGAACTTGTTGGGAATCAGTGCTCTAACTCTTCAAAAGTTGGAATTAGTTCATTTCAGTTATTTGGTAAGATCATTCGCATGAACCAGCCTGTTGAAAGTGGTTTTGATGATGTTAGCTACATCGACGATTATGGCAATAAGGGGTACAATGAAAACAATTCTCTAGACCTTGGATTAACATCTTCTTATACAGAATTGCTCAACAGGATTGATGTTCAATGCCAAAGAGCTTCAGCTGTTGAAGCTTGCTCTTTATGAACAAGTAGTTGTACAATGTCTTGCAGATATGTAGCTGTACAGGTAATTTCGTCTTTGATTGGATTCAATATACTGCAATGTCTTTTTGCACTTGGATGAAATAAATTTACGTGTCAAATTTGATTTTGAGCTTTAAGAGGGTACCTTATATTTTTTTATGCATACTGGTAAATTGTATGGGATATGCATTCTACATTGCTGAATGAATTGAATTCCTAATCCAAATGTTCTCCATTTAGCTTTGATGTTCTTACATTGTTATGTTTTGAACTGTCTGAGTTGCTTTCCTTGTTTATTTATTTATTTGAGCTTATATCTTTGGGATATAGCAATCATGCCATTTTTCCTGCCCTAACATCTTTAGTATGTTAACTGATACTGTTCCTTTTACTGAAGTAGTAGAAACATGGTGCTGTGCTGGACTTCCTTCAAATCACTTTAAGTTTCAGTCAGTAAGTTCCTGAAGTCATAATTATACAATGTTAACTTTGTAACTAGGTACTACTGCTGTCTTAGAGAAGCATAACATGTTTTATGCTTTCTGCAATGAGCATAGTGACACTTGATTGTCCACAGGATGCAGAGAACAGTCGATCAGGCATCTCAAAACTAAAACTTAATTTCAATTATGTAATCCTGAATTGAGCTGTGAATGTCATTCGTTTGTGACATCAGCAACTCAGCAAAGTAATAGATTAAATGAAGTTGTATCATGAAAGTATCATGCTCTATGGTCATTACCAATTTACCACTTGCAGCAGCAAGCTGCTCAAATTTGTTAGGTTTTGCAGACTTCAGGCTCCAGGGAAAACAAGTTGTTTCTGTTCATTTGGGTATTTGGTCATCACAAAACACCCTGATTAACTTTTCTTGTAAAACCAGAACAAAAAATTTTACATTTAAATACTTACACTCAAAGTAACTTCTCATGCTGGACTTGCTTCACAATGAAAATACGAAGCACTAAAATTGCATGATTTATTTTCATAGCTGTTTACCTCTTTATTATGACCAGTGTCAATCAGCTTGGTTATGCTTAATTATCTTGAAAGTTTTTTTCATCCTGGATTTGAACGATTGTTGGAGCTTGAAATTAAAAATATGCTATCAATGACCACATTTCATTTACTACTTAACTACTGACATTTTTATTTATTCATGCTTGCAGGTATTATAAGCAGGCAGGAAGCTGAAGCTGACTTATTAGATCCTGGCAGTAGTAACCAGTGTGTGTTTGTTTTAGTTAGTGTTGTTGAAACTCAGACGATCAGACGATGATAACATGTGTTTAAATCAAGTATGAAACATTTGTGTGGCACGTCATATTTTTTTTTTTTGTTGTTGATGTAATATAATTCCATTTCTTTTCAAAGAAAATGGAGAAACTAGGGTTTCCCTGATGACTTGACATCGGAAAGAGGGAAATACTTTAATTTTCTGGTGATGGGAAAATTATGCAGTGGTTATATTGGAATGTGGGAACAGCTTATATTTTTTCTTGGGCTAATAATAAATATATTGTTAACTTGATCTGTGTTGTTGGGCTGCTTATTCTTTTTATGCGAGTGTAAAGAGGTTCTATTAAGTTTACAAGGACAGGGAATGTTCCATAGCTTTTGATGGCTGATAAGTATTGGAACCTGCGATTTTGTTTCATGGGTTGAGGGACTGGCCTACATTATGGCTCCATCAAAAGCTGAACCTGTTGAAGAATACCCTCTTATGTGGTTGAAAGTTGTTTCCTGCTTCACATTAGAGAATGTTGTATCTGCCAATGCATTAGAAGGATCTTTCGTTCTGAACTGTCACGTACTTCATACATATAAAATCTGTCGAATGCGAATCCATTAATTGGGTAATAAACATGGTCTCTCTTAAGTGTTTCTTCCTTACTTTAATGCAACAACAGAGGAACAATTTGCTACTTTTGAAATTGTTTTAGGTTGGACTGACATTGTTCTGGTCTGCCAATAAACCTCAGTCAATAAAGGAGCACCAAATAGCAAAAGATTGTGCCTTTTTAATTTTTCTGAAGGAAGCAAAAAATTGAAATTATCAAACCTGTTTATGTTGGTTGGCTGAACGGCTGAACACCACAACCAGACAACGTCCATCTTCGTAGATTAAAATATTAGTATTTAACTTTCCAGACAGTTCCTTATTTCCTTATTGGGCTTTTACGGATTGTTTATAACAAGTCTCAATTCAATTGCTTGGATCTTTAATTTGGAGAAATTGGGAAAGCCATAAACATCATTCATGGCTGTTTCTTCTTTCTCTAACCTTTCACTCTTAGCTCCTCCTCGTTTCTCTGCTTCATTCTCTGCAAAACCTCCCAAAACCCTAGAAACCAAAACTTTGTTGACCCTTCAATCTCTCCGTCTTTGCAATTCTATCAAAGGATTCCATTCCTCTCCACTTAGAAATGACGTCCAAGGCCGTTCTTTCAAGGCTTATTTTTCTGCCGAAGACTATGCGCCTACGGTATGCAATTCTTTTCTTCTTCAACTTTGACTCTTTTTTTTTTTTTTTTTTTTTTTTTTTTTTTTTTTTTACTGCGGAAGACTAGGTGCGCTATCGGTATCCTGCATTCTTTCGTTCGTCTCTCTCAACTTTTGACTCTTTTTTTTTTTTTTTTTTTTTTTTTTTTTTTTTTCTTTGAATGTAATGCTACGAAACTTTTTTTTTTTTTTTTTTTTTTTTTTTTTTTTTCTTTGATATGTAATGCTACGATAACTGAGTTTTCTCTTCCACGACCCGTTGCTAGTGCTATATTCTTAGCTGTTGAAGGCAACTTGTTATTTTTATTTTTTAAATCCATGCCAATAGTGAAGATTGATGCTTTGGATGAGTGGAATTTTTCATGTTCTATCATTTCTGGGATTTGTTTAGATGCAAAACAATATTTGGACGGGGAAATGATACAAATTGATGGTGTTTCTGTAGATTTGCATGCTACCATAAAAAAATACACAAACTCTCCACGCCCTTTACAGTTTCCATGTGCACAATTAGTGTATGCCACAGGATTGCAATGGCGTCTTGTTAGTAGATGGCTCTAGATGTAAAGGGCAGAAATTAAACCCTAAATTATTGGCCATCATATGCAGTTTTCAGAATTTAAGATTGTTTCCTTCGTGGAGCAATAACACTCTTTTTGCTTTAAGCTGGGTCACAAGTCTGTCTATTGCCAAATTCAAAATTGACACCACGATGTCTGCCTTTTAACGTGATTTTGTTGATATATTGAGTAGCAACCATTTGTGGATTTGTAGTTGTCTATTGATTTCTTTCTTTCTTTTTCTTTTTTAACTTTATGCTTATGTTAGATTTCTATGCATTTGGAAGGTTGTTCTTTGGGATTTCCTGTGCCTCTGAACTCCTAGTTACTGTCTTGTTCTAGATATTGAGTTGAATTATTCAACCTATTTTGGACATTCTTTACTTTTGTTATTTTAAACAGAATTACCTATAATGCATTTTGTGTTGGTTTGGGTAGCAGGCATGAGTGTGGTATGTAATCATAAATTCTGAAATTGCGATAGGCTTAGTTGGATTCTAAATGAATGCGCATATGTTGTGCTGGTCTGTCTTCAAACATAATGAAACAAAGAGATGATAGCTATCATGTGATATTAGGCTGAATATTTGAGAATATAATTTCATGTCGGCCCTCTTAGATGTAGAATCCTAGTATTTGCCAACTATTCCAAGATGCTAAGAAAGGAAGTTTGGGATCTGCATGGCATTTAGGGATCTTATTGATCTTGATGAAGAAGTAAAGTAATCTGACAAAACATCTCATCCCGACCAATACATTTTTTTGCAAGTGAAGTTGCAATTTTACAAAATGATTTCGCCTTCCGCAATTGTTTTGTTAATTATTTTTAACCTTTTATTTTCCATTAAAGTGATTGTCACAATTCAAAATGATTAAGCTATTCTTTCCCCCGTAATTGTTTGTGTTTTAGACAAAAGACAAGGAGGAGAATCATCAGAATGGTATGAAAGCATCAGAAAAAGCAGCAGATGGCAAAACTGTAGTCGGTTTGGAGAATCTTATCGAC